ATTTAGATTTTCGTATATATATAAAAATTATTAGACAAATAAAATAGTAAATATACAAGAAAAACTGGTGACTGGTTATATAATTTAGTAATATATGATAGCCCTTTGTACATGCATTTATTGTATTTAAAATCCCGCAATTTTTGTTAATTATTCTTAAATTAATATGATCCAAGGATAAAAAATATCGAATAGCCTGCATTAGAACATATATAAACGTTAAGACAAAGATTTTCATAGTAACATTATTTACGAAATTTGTTACATTTAATTTAACAATCAATCGCATTATAATATTACTTTAGGCCATTCAATAATCTAGAAAAGCTGTGACGCTTCAAACTTAGCATATAGATGTCTAGGAATAGCCAGATCTCTTCATAGTGAAGATATAACGTAACTTAACACGTCAATGAGGAAGTTCGTAATAGGCACACCGACCTCCCTTACTAATACTGTTTGTAAATGCTATACATAGATTCAGTATTGTGCAAAAAAGTCATGATAGTTGAACGAAATTGTCTTGTATATAAACACTAAATACTATTTATTACGATTATTTTGTTCTTATTTAAAAACCTTTAATATTTTTCTTATTAATAATAATTTGTATAGAACCAGACTTTATTATCACTTTTCATTCTATAAAATCTTAGTATATGATACTTCGGTTGTTAAACAGGAGTATTGATCCCAAGAAATGTAAATTTATATGGTCGTAAAAATGTAGATATCCTTATGAAACAAGTACGTGCTAGCTTTAATTCCTAGTTGCGTGATCTTACTAATGTACATACTGATGCCGATATAGATGGCGTCATACAACTATATACTAAAAACAAATTCATTATTTATATAAAAATGTTAAAATATCCCTTAGACTTTGAGCTTGCGTTTCAATTCTAATTTCGTAAAAAAAAAACTCTTCAAAACGAATATAGTTCTCATTCACTAATAATACTTGTTTCACATATTAAGAACAAAACAGCCCAGTTAATTTCCATACAGAATAAAAACTAAAAAAAACCTAAAAATATGCATAAAATAACTAGTATAATACAAAAATTATATGCATAATTTAGTCATAATATTAAATTATACTATACAATAGAAATATTGTTGTTTGAGTAATCCAAAACTCAGCTCGGTCATAGGAGAGAAGATCAACGACCTGTGACATTCGCGAAGAAAGTCCCTTACATAACACTCTGTGAATAAAGATCATTTGCGCTTTTAAAATCTTTGTTGCGTCTATGCACTGACTCTTGAACATATATATAAAGAACTACTGAACGTGTGTATGTCACTGAACTACTACTAATTTCCTAGACTTATTTGAATGTATTTGGTTAGATTTATATATCAGTCCTACAGATGGCGCTGCAGTCTGTATCTAGATTCTTCTAAATGAAAAGGTTGCAACGTAGGTTACTGTATGTATTGTTTTAAAACACTTTATACAGTTATCTCTGAGGGCAATTCTAAAGTTCACGTGGAAGAAGTCGCGGGCAAATTACTATACTAAAATAGGCTGAAATTTTAATTAACCACAGAGTAAAATCGAGTAACTTGGAAGATTTGATTTAATAAAATGGCTAATATATACGAATTATAATTACGATGTAGCGGACATTGAAGTTAAAGCCGTGTAATTATCATTTTCATAACTGTATAATTGTATAAATTACATGTTTATGTCAAGTCGCTGTATAGTTTACTATTGTATAATATTAAGTTATATATACTAAATCAATGTCTAAAATGTCAAAAAGAAAATAAAAGCAGCACCAATACAAGTAATTTAAAATACTACTGCTCATTCAATACGTATTTTATTATAAATTTAAAGCAATATTCAATTTATGTATAATTTGAGTAGAATTCAGAGTAATGTTATTTTTTTTTAGGTTTTTGTTATGTTTATAAAATATATGAATAATAATAATATTTTATTGCAAACCATACAGTAAGTAAAATCTAAACTCTCAAACGAAAAGTCATTAGAATTAAACACCTATTTAGAAGAAAACCTATAACTAAGCTGAACGTTTCTTTTCTATGAGAAATCGCTACATATTAGAAAATCATAGAATTATTTTCGTATTACACCATACAATTCAGTTTATAGGCTTTCTGTTAACATCAAAATAATGATAATATTAAAAATATTTTACTTCCAATAAAATAAACATATAACCGCCTTCTTTTTGTTTGTTTTGAGGAAAAAAAACAGGTCGTACTTGAATCGTTTACCCGTTATTGTCACTAACTATTGTCTTCACGGATGAGAAAACGATATTATCTTGAAAGATCGTCGAGTTATGATTATATACTGCATTTTTATCATCTTTATAATATAATATTAAAAGACTAATAGACAGAATACCATTTATATTGCAAAATATGACAGGCTAAATAGCTATATGCATATATTAATTCCCTACTAAAAACCCATTCGCTTATTAAGAGCATATAGTACATAAACTCTTTAAGACAAGTTTGTTCCAGTTAAGGTTTGATTTTTTATTTAAAAGACAAATATACATTTTATGTTTTTTTAATTCCTTTGTCCGAATTCTAGATATAAACATTTTTAAAGTATCAAGCATATTTTATAAACATCCAAATATATATTTAATAATTAGTATTATTAAAAGAACACCTTTTTTTCCAAAGAGGGTTGACGTCAGGCAGGCGGCCGGTTGTAAAAACAATTAGCCAAAATTATTTATAAAATGTAAGGCAGACACTGGCTAAAGCTGGGATATTGCCAGGAAGAAGAAGAAGTTAAAAGAACATCAGTTTTTCTATATCTCTATGTCAGCTAACCAAAGCTAATCGCATGCCATGTAGGACCCGGTCTTTGTATTGTGTAAGCGTTTAGCACGCCCATAACTATCCATGTTTTAATTTATTCGTTAAACCAATTATCCTACTTTCATAAGAAATATTTTTATATATAATTATCGATTTGTTAATATTCACAATCAATTTTTATGCTTACGTAAAATTTTGTTGTTGTTTAGATTTTCAAACAAACTAGTTTTATTAAACGTCGAGTTTTTTTTAATATTAAACAGTATGGATGTAGGAATTAAAGTACATTTTATATAGAAATCAGAGTTTTATAGCAGAATTAAACTGGTAAAGGCCTTATCGATAAAACTTTGAAGAAGTAGCATACGCTTTAAAAATGTATTAATTCGAAGTGGTTTTGTCAAATATATTATAACTACACTAATTTGTTTAAAAAAACTGAAAGGATTTTTTTATATTTATATCAAACGATGTCTTTCTTTGTAATAATTTAAGGACAAAATATTTATTTTATAAGCAGATTAAATTTATAAGTAATTTCTAATTTAAGTTTAAATTTTCACACTATTATGTTAAATGAACGAGCTTAACATCTACCAGTCTACAAATTATCAAAACGCCTCTCATTTATTCATTGTCTGTTTGCTCAATTTATTTTTATATACCATCCGTTTAATACCAAAAACCTCTTCAAGATTTCAAAATACTTTTAAATTTATAACCCACAGTGGGATCGGAATTTCTCTATATATGGATTATTATGGAAAAAAACGTTAAAATAACATGAACACCCAACATTACACTTGCATAACATTTTCATTATAAATATATCAATAAAATAAAATTACAATAGACGAATCAAAATACATTTTTCTATTTTATATCTTTATATAATCAATCAATCAAAATATTTTTAATGGCTCTCGCTAATCGTCTGTTTCTGACAAAGACCGGACTTACATCACAACATAACACGGACAAAACAATGCTATAATAAAAATAAATCTGTTTCGTTGCCATTGCATTTGTTTGAAATAGGGTCACACTTATATTGTCTTTATAAAACTTGTTTAACGAACGCCGCACCGTAGTTCCGTTTCAATTATATTAAACTATTTTACTAATCACATCTGAGATTTTGATGTTGTATTGTATATTGTGTTTAGATGAATTGATTCTTAATATAACCGAAGTACTTTTGAAAAGCGTAACTATATAAGCATTAGTAATACATTGTTTGAAATCTCTTGGTTTTAATTGACGGAATATTAAAAGTTACCCGACACTGACCTAAATTATATGTTTTACCACCGCTTACACTGTACACATCAAATATTGATATGTTAGTAATGTTAATACATATACCGAAGGTCATATTTATTAATAAGTTTGAATAAATAATTTTATTTTCTTTATGAGAAATAATGCAAAATCCCAGAGGATATTTGTACATCAGCGTCTACACCTGACAAGTATTCGAGAATTTTGTAGCGATTTAATAGAGCTTACGATTCTTTGGAGAACCTACAGATTCAACGGTGAATCCATGGAATGCTCAAAAGTTTCGTCACTGTTAACGTCAATTTTTGAATGAAAACGCTTCCCATATGACGTACAAACTTACACTAAGCGTACTGAAATTTTATTCTTCATCTAATGTAAAATAGTTGTTACATACTTAATTTTATTTTAAAGATACAGTAAATGTTAATTTTAAAAGTTTTCTTATGTAATGGAACCTAATCACAAGATTACTTTTGGTTATAATTTTGTTTATACAATTTGAGTTTCAGTTAAATCCTTAAACAAGTCAAATAATGAGAAATAAATTATCAATATTGACCTGTCTTACTAAAGATGACATTATTTTTTATATCACATGTTTACAAATATTTCATTCCTGATGTATTTTCCTCTATTAATTGTATATCAAAACGTCAGTCAGTAACCAATAGTAGATCAAACAGATAAATTTAATATAATATTTATATAGTACTATTCCATCAAAAAATGTATTATTTATTTTATTTATTATAACATATCACACGTTATCACTAAACAAACAATGATAATCGTAACCTAGTGTTATCGTATTTATATATGAAAGCGAATATAAAGGACATATAAAACATTACGTTGTATTCAGTACAACATATAACAAGTGTATTCTTCATATTATCAAAATGCCGTGCTTAAACATTTTCACGAACATCGCCAAGTCACAAATACCACAAAATCTTGTGTCAAAAATTATCCCAGTTCTAGTGAAAGGCGTGAAAAAACCACCAGAGGTTAGTAAAGTTACGATCAAATGAGTTCACGAAATTATTTAGGTTATAATTATATTTTATCTTTCATCCCAAAGACATTATAATTTTTTTTAATGTAGCCAGGAGAATCCATTAGAAATAGTGTTATTCTTTTAATTTACTATGCAATATAAATTAATGTAAATTCTAAACATCATTAAGTGTCTCGTATCTTATCTCAAAAACTATAATAGCAAAATACCCTTGCGAATGATCTTACTATAAAATATACATGCAATTAAATTGTAATAAAATTCATATCGATTCATCAAAATATGTATCTATGTTTATGCAGAATTTCATCTGCGTGGTCAACGCCGATTGTTTCTTGAATATGAAGGAGGACCCAGTAGCTCCTGGTATTGTAGCGACATTGGAATCCATTGGTCATTTAGGTCCAGAGGAAAACGACATAATTGTTAAGGAGCTAGCGAAATTCTTTGAAAAAGAACTCGGCGTGCAACCTAGCAGGTAAAAGAGAATATATATTACCAAAATTTTTTTTGTCCTATATTGTTTTATATATATTATTTTCCTAATTTTTCCAGGTTCTTCCTAACATTCTACGACCTTGAAAAGCATAACGTCGCAATTAACGCAAGCACCATTAAAGGATGATAAATAACACTTCATATATTTTAAATACTTATAATGAAACTAAAAGCCAATTGTACTAATAAATAACTATTTTTATAAATAAATGTAGCTTTTTTTATATTTTCTAGAAAAGTTAAAACTCATTGTTTTCATATTAAAGATGGAATATCTTGAATAGTGAAAAACTATTCATTTATGTAAAAAAAAAGTAACAACGAATGACATATTTTATATGTTTAAAAAAATTTGAAATTTGATTATATTTTTTATATGCTATCTAGCATATACAGGTAGCAATTTTATAGAAAATTATTATGGGTTTCAGGCTTATAAAAGTATATATCTATCAAGCGGCACCAATATATGTATATAGAAATAACAGAAGAAGAATTAAATACAAAATATTTTGAAGCCTTAACACCAGCAGTCATAAAAAAATATCATTGTAATACTTATAAAAATATTTGGTTCGACTCCCGGTAGCTCACATTTCATGTAGTAAAACAAGTCTAGATTTTCAACGCAAGTCAATTTGCATATTATACCTTAAATCAAAATATGGTCCATTTTTAAAGTATCTGAAGATTAATCTATAACCATTAATATTTAATGCACCAGTTCAAAAAAAAATTGAATGTTGATGTTCACTATGAGGGATTAAATAATTTTATTTGTCATACAAATTATTAACATTCCTTTTATTACTACAATTAAATACTATAATTTGAATAATGACAGAAATTTATCGTGCAAAAACTATTAAATAAACAGTTGTGTTATCGCTTATATCTTATTCTCTACATTGCTAAGTAATGGTCTTACGATCTCTACTTTTAAAGTTTTATTAGATCTCGTGACTACACCATCTTCGTCGATTAAGTTACCATGCACGTCCTTCCAAATTTTTATTTTTCTTGTCTCAGCAACTTTTAAATCCTGATCTTCCTCCCAAGACACCGAGTCAGACTTTATACATTTCCATCCGCCAGTTATTTTGCTATTTATATCTTCTATATTATTATCATCTTCCTCTTTTTGAAGTTCATCTAAATCAGCATGAACACTGGAACTAACTTCAACTTTATCACATTCAGTGTCCGTCTTCTCGCATTCTTCGTCTTCCTCTAATTCTGAATCTGATATAACTTCTAAAGTGTCCTCGCTGGAATCCTCGTCTTTACCAGAATCGTCAATCTTTTTGGTAACTTTTGATTTCCAATTATTAAGATTTTTAAAAGCCATTACATACATTGGCTTAGTCTTTGGGAGTATTTTATATAAAATGGTATAGCAAGGTATGCAGATTTGACTCAAAAAGCCGACCTGGAATGACGGTTGTTTTAAAATATTTGATCTGAAAAAATTATAATGTTATATTAATTGGCCGTACCTGACTAGCCGGTTGTTCTTCTGGCTTATTCCGATCCATCATAGGTATGGGAGTTTTCCCAGCTTCCCTTTCTTTATCTCCCTGCTCGTAAAACTCTTTGAAGATCACCTTAACGGTTTTTATCTGTATATCCCACGGTTTAGCGGAAGCCGACAAATCGGCTGCTGTCATTGAAATCGCCATCCCTAAGTCCCTATTTAAATATTACAAATTAAAAATTGTTCTATAATCAAAAAATATTCAATGTCTTTGACTTTTAAATAGCAATCACACAGAAAAAACATTTCGCAAATTTCGCACTTGATAGTAAAGAATCAAATATTTGTTAAAAATTTAAGTTGCTTTTAAATTGAGGAAAAGTAAAATTATCAAAGGAGCGCTAAATATATATAAAAAAAAGCCCGCAACTCTATCGCTAACCGCTAGCCAGTCATAATGTATATTTTATTTTAAAGAAAATAAATTTCTACTTTTTAATTTCATAAAAAATAAAACACATTTCGCCATATTCGCCAATTTTGCATATTTTTTTTATTTATATACCTGTGACTAGGAATACTCCAATTGAAATGAGGACGTTTCGCATCCATATTGTGAATTTCTTGTAATTTAGCTAAATTAGGAAAGAATGCAGCCAGATCCGTTGCCAATATACAATTCCTTATGTAGCCTAGAATGTCTTTGTATTCTTGACTGGACAGATGCGAGAATATATTGTGTCCATCCTGAAATAAATTTGGATGTCATGATTGAAGAAATATGTAGAATGAATCATACTAAATACTCTTGCAAAAATTATGATAACTAATTTGAACGTAAACTATTAGGTACTTGAATCTGTGATAAAATCTGTAATTACCTGTTGCAAAATAGTTACAGTTATATTAAAATGATGATGTTCCAACGGTGATGTAGTGTACATAGCAGCAAGTGGGGAGGCTATTTCATTTAAATATTTATTGGTATAACCTCTATGATCCAAATCATGACATAAACATGCGACGAATAACGCCAGTCTCTGTGAAAAATATCATATAAAATATACAAAAAAAATAAGTCAGAATTGTAAATGATCTCAAATAATTACCATTTTGTAGTCAAGGCATTTCCTGTGGTCCTTTTTAATGATAACGTACATAGCATGAGCTACTGACCATCCATGATCGAAATTGTGATAAGGCACTGCCCTATAGTTCTTTTTAACTGTTAGGATGAATCTCGTTATCGTCATGAAATCGAACTTCGAAAGCTCGAAAAGATCATCGAACATGGTGATGACGGCTTTGCATTTTTGAATGTCACCCAATTTGTATGGATCGAAATAGAAATTTGTCAATGATGTTACATCTTCCTCTTTATCTTCATTGCTCTCTAGAACTCTCCGCACTTCGTCTTCTTTACATGTATTATGATAGCTGAGCACCTCCAAAGCAACCCTGTATCTTTGCTCTTTTCTCATGATTTTGTCGTACAGTCTCGCATGGTGTAAAGCGAGCCCAAAAAACGTTGAAAATATTTCAAATGCAACTTCATCCTCGCGATCAAAGTTGTCGGCATTGATTTTATTAACCATTTGCACCACACCTATGACCTTTCCTTGTACTTTAACTGGCATACAAAGTATGCTGTTTGTGGTATAACCAGTAACTTCATCCACGTCCCTGGGAATAAAATATTTTTTTTTATTTTATCACCAAAATACTTTCTAACATCGAATAAATACAAGGATATTCATTTTTTAAAATAAACCTGTTAAATCTATAGTCTGAATATGCATCTGGTATGTTCATGGTTTCCCCGGATAAGGCGACGTGACCAGCTATACCCCGGTCAATAGGCATTCTGATTTCTTTTTTCTCCACGTCACGACCTTGTCCAGGTTCAAATTTTAAATCAAACACAGTTGATACTAGCTCATTATTCCTATGGTCCACAAGAAAAAGGGAAGCTCGATCGGCGCTGACCAATTTTTGGGCGAACTCCAATATTCTTTTGACAAGTTGTTCAAGTGACACCATTTCTTCAAAAATAGCCCTAAGCATTATGTAAAATAAGAATCAAATTGCAATAAAATAATAAATATCATTCAAAATATTAAATGAAACTCACTTAACAACGTCCAATAGAAAATCAGTCATGTTACGTTCACGCATTTTGTCAAGACATAAATTACAATATTGTAAGATGAGACTTCCCCATACAATGTAGTTAGAACTTAAATGTTCGTCTCTGTCATCAAATTCCTTTTTTGTGCGCCACATCTCTATAACATATCCAGTTTTGCTATTTGCGGTCAATATTGGTTGGTATAGAACATGTTTTGCTTCTTCCTGCAAAATTATATAAACCAAAAATATAATAATTATAATTTATATTTCATAGAATTTTGCTTAATGGTAAGGTCCAGTTAGTTTGATGTCGCAAAAGAATGAATCTTCTAAATAGATAGATTGCTATAAAATACTAACCAAATTTCTGATTCCGAAAGCCTCAAGTAAATTTTTACATATCCGTGGAAAATTGACCGTATTTTCTCTTGATAGACGTAAACATGTCCCATCTTTTGCCACACGAAGGACGTTTTCAATTTGATTTAAATCCACGCGACGTAATTGTGTAGATATAAGCTGACTCTGACAAAAATCATAAATAATATATAAGGTAAATATTACATAGAAATTGACAATATTAATATTAACCAGTGGACATCTATTTTCAATCATAATATACTTACTTGATCTGCTACAAAATATTGGACAAAACTGTCATGATCGGGAAATAATTTATAAACTCTGTAGGCATCTACTTCAATCGTCATAGTAATTAGACGCACTATGTCAATAACAATAGAATGTTCATTCTTATCCCTTTTCAAGCTGTTGAACAGCTCCTGCAAAGATAAATATTATAGTAATATCTGATTCCTAAGCAACTTTTGACCCACGTGCAGCAGAAATTTATCTACCGGAAGAACTTTCTTGTACATTCATAATGTCGCCAAGTAATAAACCGTGGGAGAATTGTTTCATTCAGAGGTTTGAAATAGAAATAAATTGAAATAATATGTGATGATAGTCTCACATTAGAAAATCGTTATGTACGAGTACATGCATCTTCTTCTTCTTCTACCTGGCAATTTCCCAGCTACAGCCAGGGTCTGCCTTATATGTTGTGAATAGTTTTTTTTTTTGGCTATTGGTTTTATATATATGCTATGCATATAACAATATAAATAAAAAATTCGCTAGTGTATTAATGTAGCTAAAATTTCTAAGAATACATTTTAAGTTCTGGCAGTTTGTCTACTAATTTCTTTAATTACATTATCTTATCTTAAAATCATTATCTGTTAATAAATTCTCACAGAGCTTTATTTTGTTATCTTGTCCATATTATTTTAATTATTAGTCTCAATTTGTATTATTTGCATATATATGTGCTTTAAATTTTTCCACACGATTTCCATAACTAAAATTTTAAAGTCTTATAAACCATTTAATCAAATGAGTAACAGTAACAATAACATTTGATTTTAAATAAGTAGTTGACTTGAATATGGGCTTCATAAAAATTAAAAGAAACTCACCAGAAAAACATTTTTGTTAGAAATTTTCTCTTTAAGTCTATCACTGTGACGAAAATCGTTTCCTGATTCCTGAAATAAAATAATCATATAATTTTCTTAAATTGTTATAAACAAAAATATATAGATTTGTTTATGAAATTTATTTTGAATTTGCTATTTAATATACTTCTCAATCAGAGAAAATACGTGTATATTTTAAGGACTAATAGTACAGATACGTAGTAGCATTTTATTATTAAAATCAATGCGTTTTTACTTACGTAATACTTATGTCTCTTTTTGGCCAGCCATTTTTCCAGTTGGTTTATAGAAACGCTGTTGATGATATACGACTCCAAGAACATCTTATTGTGGTCCAGATAATCAACCACGTTAGCATCCAAACCCTCAGGAGTTGTTCGTTCTGATGAAAAACTTATATTATTTACACTTAAACAGAAATTAACGCGTGGTGGGACTCTCGATACAGCTAACATAGCATCAAACGCCTTAACAAGACGTTATTTATTTAAAAAAAATTGGTTAAACTGGGTTTAAATTAACGAATTAAGGAATAAAATATTCTACCACGTCAAATTGAATACCTTCTCAATCCAAAATAGCAACATTCTGTTCTTTTTTGTACATATGTACTTGTTTAAAAAATTACAATTACATTACCACTTAAAGATTTTTCATCTAGTATCTGTGATTTTTTTAGTTCATTCCTTATACATCGCCGTTCCTTACTGGAGTATTCAGGGCCAGAGTTTTTAAAAATATCCGCGCACTTCTTTTCTTTGTCTGTTGATTAAAATTAAAGTTGATTTACATGAAAATTAATAATATTCAGAAAAAATCTCTTAAAATTACGTCTCATAATTTTCAAACAAACAAAACACAAGATACAATACATTACTTTCTGTAGATAATATTGTTTTAATAATGTGACGCGAAGGTCTTGGTATATTAGACCTCGGCTGATGCATCGCCCGTTTCTTTGGTTCTGTCTGAAAACAAAAGATTCTTTTAATAATTTCAATGAAACTAATATTATTTTGATCACTATGAACTACATACTCTGAATGTCTGTCAATTGGTCCTGTTATTTATCATCTAGATGATGATGATGATGAAAAATAACAAGACCAACTTTCAGACATTCACATCTTGTCTACCCGTGATCAAGATTGCTGAAAAGTAACTAAAACGTCGGCGGTATGTAATTTTAATACGCGTAGTAATCCGAATAATATTAGTTTCATTTAAATAAATACTCTCGAAAGTCTTACATCTCACTCTTTTCATAATTTCTTCAGGAATAACAAGTGATACTGACAGCCTTGTTTAATATTAGTACTACATTTATAGCCTAGCTTTTTTCTGTGGCTTTGTCTGCGTTGATTTCGGAATTATACTCAAAGGGTATAAAGAGTCGAACAATATACATACATATATAGTAGGTAAACTGACTCTGAGATTTCAATTACGTGACTTCATACAGTTGATAACTATACATAATCAGCACTGCTTATATATGCTTATATATCTCATTGTAATGTCTAAGCTGTTTTTCAATAAAGTTGTCTTCAAAATACGTTAAGTAGATCTTACGTAGAGTATTAACAATTATTCATATATCATATAATACATTTACGCAAAAAACTTACACATTTATAATATAACAAAGATTCACAAATTATATTTTAAAAGTCATAAAGCGATTAGGATTCATTAATAAAATTGTATTCAAAGCCTCACTGGTTTCGAGGCACGCATTTTATCCATTAGACATAGTTCTCCATACTATATTAAGCAAGTCTTATTTGTCTAAGTCTCTATTTGCCAGTCATTTTAAGTGTCGGAAATTAATATTATATTGTAATTAATTATATTTGATATTCCGATCACGATTTATTGATATCCACTGACTTTATAAACAATGAGTAATAACATGCCTTACTTTTAAACCCGATTTGTTACTAGATTTCTATTACAATGTGTTTGGAATATTATAAATTAACGTAATATTTACTAGCTCATCATAGATTAAATAATTTCAAGAATGTTGGCTCGGTTATATTATTGCATAGAGAGAGGAGCTTGCATGGTGGATGTGAGCATTTAACACGCGTTAGATAGGGGTCCTTAAACCTACACCTGGGTCGCAAGTCCCAGGCGCTGTTGAAGCTCCTCTCCCTGTAACAATGGACCCGACTCCCGCAAGGTGAATCCATTGAATACTAAGAGATTTCGTCTCATATTCATATGCAATTCAACTAGTAATAATATCATAATTTCGTTTATTTATTTATATGGAACTTTAAATTTCTTTGCAATTAATTTATACCCCATATTCAGTAAATAAAATTTTGATATATTGTTTTAAATAAAGTGTTGGAGATATGTAAGTGTTTTTGAATAAATTAAATATTAAATAAAAATTGTAAGTAAATATAGAATTTACGATGCCGTCTGAGAGGCGGTGTATTTAAAAAAAAAGTAAGAAGAAATGAGAATATTTAAATGCTGAATTGAATGTTATGAAAAAGAAAGAATGAAAATCAATTTTTAAAGGCATTTGAAGATATTTTGCTATATTTTTAACGGCAGGAAATTTAGCAACATATAAAAATAAAATTAAATTACGCATTAAAAGGCTCAGTAATAAAAATTAAGTCAACAGAAAAACAGTTTTTTCATTCAATATACAAAAATATATATCTTGTTTTTGCGAAACGAAATTACTCTATCACTATTCCTAATTACATGAACGTAATGTGCGCATTATTTCAGGCAAAAATCCTTTTCTAATTCTCTAAGTGGTCATTAACAAAAATATTCTCCATACGTTATCAACAACAAATTCGTTTCACTGTGAGTTATGGTCATGCTATTATGATTTTTTCTGTAACTGCATAACCCAAATAATTATGATCACTACAAAGGCTTGCTTATATTTATACATAAATGGTAAAAACGTGTTATCTTATAAGTTTTTTTTAACATAAACATATAACATACTTTCTTTATGTTTTGTCCATCAGAACTCCTTGAATCATCATAATATTTTGGGCTCTGCTTCTCAGCCATTGCCCCTGAAATCAATTATATCTACTGTCAAATAAAATAAATTCCCATATCCCTATTTTCCGTCAACGTACTATTTACGTACACTTACTAGATTTCAACACCAATCATTCTAAGATAAGCAAAATATATCCATGCATTAGAATACGTCACAAACATTTGCGTATAATATTAATATATATTAAACTAACCCAAATTACTATAATATAATAAAAATATTATGTTTTACTCACTATATGTTTTGTTATGAATACAGCGTTCAATTTATCGCGACTTGACTGTATTGATAAAAAGGTAAAGTTAAACTGTCTCATCGACTCGCTGATAAAGTATGAACAAACACTTCTATGTGTAATAAATACACGTATTAAATAACTTTATGTATATGAGACTTGAATGTATGTAATTTTTAATATTTAACCGACGTCCTACTCGTACGATGGACGGTTTTAGAAACAATAAATTCGAGGGACGATCAAAGCCACATAATCAATTCACATCAGCTTAGTCACGGTCGCCAGTTATCAAAACTTATTAAGGTTTAGCCGAATTTCGTAACAGCTAGCTATAAACGTTAATCATTCTAAGTATTATAATATCAATGGATAATAGATATGCCTCCTAAAATATTTTAAGGCTCCTCATAAGTGTTATTGCTAGTAAAATTTTAAATACATATTATAGTATAGTCATTTATTACACAATATTATGTATAGCGAACTTGTAGGGAAATATTTATTTTCTTCGTCATTTTTTGCGTTATTTGTGAGGAAGAATAACATAATAGAACAACTATAAATTATAATATTAAAGACTCTACTATAAAAGAAACCAAAAATTAGCATGCAGAATACTCTTTATTTTTCATATTGTAAACCTTTTTCTGCACAGAAAAATGCACAGCATAGAACATCAGGCAGCATTGTACTCTATGTTCCAGCTTGTGCATCTGATACTAGGATATGATTGCTTGTGTTACTCGTAGCGCCAACATAAGTTTTGAGAGGAAAAAGGTGACTGGTACTAACGTTGTGCTGGGCTAAAGAGGAACCGTGCTGTAATGAGGTCTTACTGTCAATAGTCATACCAAATACGCTTACAAGCTAAACCGTTTGAGCCACCATGATCTTCTTTTGCGAGCGAATCATTGCAAAGAAGATCGTGGTACAGATCAAGGACTTCACCGTTGATGTACTCTGGCCGGGATGAAGTTTAATAAACGGAGGAATGTGATGAATACCTTCCCCAAAATAAAGGAAAGGTTAATAAACCCCGACTGATGCAGTGTCCCTGGACCATGTCAAATGACACACGATATGTCTCACTAAGTCTAAAATTACTTATATCTCTCGCGATTTAATCTATTAATATCATGATTTAAGTAAGTTTAAAAATACATATTTCATCTTCTTATATCATAAAATTATATTATTATCTTTTTATTTTAAATAAAATTTTCAAAGGTATATAAAAACTTGAACTCAATGCAGATGACTTGTGACAAATATAAAATAACAGTAAATCCACGGTATAACACAACCACTGATTATTGAAGTACATGCTTTTAAACGATATTTTTAAATAAAAATATGCTAAATCTCGAATATACTGATTTTTGAGAAAAGGCAAGAATATTACCCCAATATTTGACATGACATCCTGTGTATAAGTAATGCCATGATGAGCAATATACTTTCAAATATGTATCAAGTAATACCTATCTTTGACGATTTTTTTTATTAAACTTAATAAATAATATTAATAGATAATAATTTATTACTAAAATTTGTTATCAAATTGATTTTCTATACGTTATTCTCATAAATTTTTAGTATAATAGCATTTACCTTTTACAGATTTATTTGCAGTGTTGCCACTCTATTAATAGAAACTAGTTAAATTAATATATAACAATGAGTATATTCCAAAAGAATATTTGTTTAAGGCACGGCTTTTATATTTTAAAAATTAGATATAAACTTTAAATATGTATTATTTAAATATGATTTTCAATGATTGCACTCCTAAAATTATTATCTTGGCAATGTCGTCGATTGAAGTTTGTAAGGCAATCGTTTTAATTAAATTTCACTTATAATTGAAATAATATATAAATAAACATGAAAATGGATTAGAAACTCTTCGTATAACAATGAAATATTTTATTCTGAACGTCTCCCTATCTAGATGTCTTATAATTATTTGATAGTTCGCCAAACTGTTGAGGTTAAAACTCGACCGTTTCATTTGATTCTTATTTTGGTATTTGGTTTATTAACTTACTGATGATGCAGTATAAATTATGGTTGGATATCGTCATGATGATAATCTCACTCCAAATCAAAAGTTGATCGCCGGTTGCATATCGGGAGCAGTCACTAGGTTTCTAACACAGCCTTTGGATGTATTGAAAGTGAGAACCCAATTACAGGGTAAAATCTCTCGCACGAAAAGACTGAGTGTATTTGCGACTTTAAAGAAAATACTCTACGAGGAAAGCATATTCGCTTTCTGGCACGGACACAATCTTGGACAGGTGTAGTTGAAATTAATAAACATGAATACTTAACTTTCTGTTGATATATTACTGCTCTTCTATTATAATAATATAGAAATATAGACACAAATTACCACATAAATGTTTTGACTTACAGATACACTCGGTTCTATCCACGTCAAGCCAATTCTACGTTTATGAAGTAACAACGAAATATGTATTCAGTTCTCCAGTTAACCCTAGATATAAGTAAGAATTTTGTTGGTGATCTATCTTGTAATCTTTTCGATCACTTTAATAATATATTTTGGAATTTCCCAGAACGTTCCTGGAATTCATGTGTGGTATATGCGCGGGTTGCTGCAGCGCGACCCTCGTAGCTCCTCTAGAAGTTATACGAGTTAGGCAAATGTTGATAAAAGAACAGTACAGAGGAATAATTAATGGAGCCAAGGCTGTTTATAATTCGGGAGGATTACTGGCTTTCTATGAGGGATGGACTGCCGGGGTTCTTATGGTAAAATAAAATTATTGGCATAATGGCAGAAGGTCCATAGATGAGTAAATAAGTTATTTTTGTCACATCTTAAATTAACAGAAAGGCACTAGATTCATCTCTGCTCAGATATCGTTGATTTTTATGTCAAAACAAATTGCATATTATTTTGAATCGTTTTCCAGCTGGGCCCTCAAGTTGGGATAACATTTTCCGTATTTAGCTTCACACAACCACTAATATTGAACTACATGTATGATTGCAATGGAGAGTGTCTCCATAAAAAGGGGAATGCACATACAGCCCAAGATTTATTGCTAGCCACTACTATTGCTGGTGGAGTATCAGGAATTATATCAAAAGTCATGTGCTATCCTCTAGATTTAGCAAAACGAAGATTACAAATCGCGGTTGGTTGATTTAAATGTATAGTAGTTTGCATTGTGAATATTCAGCAGAAGATCGAATTCTTGTTTTCATAAAAATATATAAGCCTGGCATAAAATTTATTGCATTAGAGTGCACTCGGAAGGTTTAATCTAGTGGATTAATGCTTTCAGAGTCACAAGGAAAACGTCAAATACTACACACCTAGCACTTCAAGAGATTTAGTGAAATGCACGAAACTGATGCAGTGCGTAAGGGACACTGTGAGAAGGGAGGGTTTTTTAGGTCTTTACCGAGGTCTATCTGTAACCATATATAAAGCTCAAATAACCAACATCCTTACGTTCACAACATATGAATTTGTGTGTTATCTTATAAGGTGAAATATAAACCTTGCTGATTTTTATAACTTTCCTAAATACTAAGTTATTTCGTATAGTGTTTGTCTTCTCGAAAGTAATTTTGTACATTATCACGTATGATTATAGAATATGTTGTTTTGAAATGCTTTACGTTGTTTCAAAATAAGTCCATTTGAAATAAATTACTGACATATATATGTTTGTTTTTATGTTGAGTTATTTTAAACGAGGATAAACAATAAAGGATTTTGTGAATTGAAATGATACGTCATTGGTTAGGTAAAAAACATCCGCTCTCTTTATTTTCTTTGGCGCTTACATACAAAGGTAACTAAACAATTATACGATTTGGTGATCAACGAACATGATAATATAACATTTAGAACATTCAATTGATATAAAGTTGCATAGACATTGGAGAAATTGTTGTCAGATACTATGAAAAACATTGACTAGGTTGTTGTTTGAACTATTATCTGAATTTCCTTTGAAAAGTGCTGTGAATCTTGATATCTATGTGTGAACGTCGATTCATATGTAGGTAGATTATATCTAAAAGTACCTGGAAAGAAAAATATCTTTAGACAACTGTAAACACGTAAATAATAAAAAAGGTAACAAAAAACTCTAGAAAAGATCGAAGTCTTAAGAAGTTTACCTTAATCTAAAGCTTTAAAGCCATACAATCAGTGCCAGCCGTGCGACAGCGACTCTCCCTCCCAACCGTGATGTTCCTCATGATGGACGGGCACAAACACTTGCTTCTCAACTTCCACCTTCTTGATGACCGGCACCGGCACATGTTGGATTACCGGCACCGGCACGTGCTTGTACACAGGCACCTCCTTGATCACTGGCACCTCTTTGACCACAGGCACGTGGACAGGGTAAGGAACCTTCGATACGTGGTGATGATGAATGGTGTGCACCTTGTATGGTACGTGGATCGTCACGTGTTTGCTGCTAAAAATAAACAAGACGTTATTTTTCCACCAAAGCATTATCATGATATAATGTAGTGTGTAAAATGTAGTCATAAAAACGTTTTACGGTTGATTACGCGCATACGAGATATAATCTCGCAAGCATTTAGTATGGCATTACAGTAGCGATCGCCGGTCGCATAATATTACATCAAATTATACGAACCAACTCAATGTCTATCAGAAAATCGTGCATTTCCCTGTCGGTGGTGAAAGCGATGCAGTACGCCGTAGATTTACATGAGCATGTTTAGTATTTTATTATTTGTTATAAATTTAACTTTAAAATAACTCTCAATAAAATTCGCGTATTTATCACTTTCTTTTCTCCCAAAAATTATCCTCATATATTGCTACATAACTTCGCAACTCCGTCATATGTTTATATTAATCTTTACACAATATCTAGCGCAAATTATTACGCACTAACAACTTCAAAACGATTTGTTATTATTTAATAGCAGTCCTAACAATATGTTCCAAATACCGAAGTAATGGCTTCGTGATAGCAATTTCGAATTCAAACGAGGCTATGATTATTACTATGAAGATTTTTATTTAATTCTTTATTTTGACTTCAATCAAATCAGTAATTGAGATACCAATCGGTGTACTTTTTTACAGATTATATACATACAAAAAATACTAAGCAAAAATGTTTGAATGCACGTAATGTATTTTATTTAAATACAAGTAAAGTACCGTTTGTTTTTACACGTATCACTAAAATTGTTTTGTAATGTTTTCATCTACTTATCCTTTTATATTACAAGTCATCGATCTGATTAAAATGACTTCGATAATCGTCAAGAGCAATTAATCTTACACAATCACTGTTCCGCATATTTTTATAATACTTTTTATCTGTAGTAAACAACAGTTCAAGAATGTGTCGGCATGCTTTGGTACTTAATAATACACTTTTTTAGACCTAAGTATGTAAAGAGTCTCATTACAAGAACCATTTTTATTTTATGCAATGTATATGTGTTTACGGATCCCTAATCTTATAATTGTACAATCCAAGTGTTTTACGAAAGTAGTTCAATTAAATATATTTATGTAATGATATATCCGCCTCTTTTTTTAATATTTCATCGAGGTTGGACATGTGATCGGTTACAGCGACTGTGAAAGTATAGCTTCGTTTTAAAATACATTAAAAAAAAATGCATCGTAATAAAATCATTAAATTTATATTCTATAATTATATACTTCTAACATTGAATAAGAAAAGGCCGTGATATTGTATACAAAACTATTATATCGCATTTATATTACAGGTGATAGTAATTGTACCGTTTATTACTTTTACGAAGTTCTACCAATGAAAACAATTGAAATAAAATCTAGTAGATATTATATTGAAGATACATATATACATATAAATAAACGAAACTGCATATAAAAGCTAGTTTATATATAATTCAGTTAAATAATAAATTAATTAATGAAAATCAAAACACGCCAAGGCGATGATGTGTATTATTATAAGTCAACTACGTAACATTATATTAATTGTATGATTTTATTGAAACTATATTTACGTTTACACATAACAGTCTGTTTGATTTATAATATTTTTAAACTTGCATCATCGTTGTGCAATTGATGAGTGGAAGCTTTCACTGGGAACAACTATTAGTGGTAATTATATCTAGTTAAGAAGTTTAGCTTCAAGCAAGATACAGATTCAATATATATAATTAAATAAAAAAGGGAATAATTTATAACATAATTTACTAATACTAAACGAAAAAAGGCCGTCAAATCATACGATTAAAGTACGTTTAAAACCTATTTCTATTACTATCAATATTTTCAAAAAGTGCCATCAAAGATGACTTATTATTACAATTCAAAATTGCTTATTCAATATAAAAGTTGCTGTAATGTCTGAAGCGAAAATTATATTTATTTAATATAAATATACACACAATGTTATGCAAAAACTTGATAGCGATGTATTTAACTTAATAGGATCTCTTTAATGTCGTTTTATGTAACACTTCGCGTGAAGTTAAGTCTCAATGAAATTGGTCCTTCATTTTGTAATACTAAATAATTAAATTTATAATATATTACACAATCGTTTAAAAATTTTAGTTGTAATGTAAAATTTTCAGATCTTCTTACAAAAATAGGACTTCGATCGTTACTCGAATCATAATCTTACTTTCCCTATTCCATGCGGAAGTATAGCAGATACATTGTTATTCTCATTGTTAACTCGAAACAATACCGTCATAGATATCTTTTAAAGTAGGAAAATTCATATATTTAAATAAATTTATCAAATATTATTGGTACTTGATACAAAAATGTCACTAAAACTCCGATTGATTTGACAATTGCGATTCGTTCATTATTTTTTATGAATGGATGTAAATACATTAAACGTTTAATGAATGTAATAAAATAAAAAATAAATTTAATAGCACTGATACACGAATGGCGTGGACGATTTTTTTTAATTTAGAGTTGATTTATCACAATAAGGTCCAGACTAAAATATTCCGTCTTCGAATAAGGCAATTGATAATAAATACTTACTGCCCATAGCCTCCTGGTGTTGGAACAGCGACTACGGCGGCTACCATCAAGGCGAAGAACTGTTATACAAATAATAAAATATAATATAATAACCTTATTAACAAATATAGTATTTATTTACAAGGCACTCACGGTGAGTTTCGCGTACATCTTGCTTGTTTGGCTGGACTGATTCACTAAAACACTTAGTCTGCTGAGACTTGCTTGCTTTCTACTTACTCATATCCTTCATCAAGCTTATATACACCATTCTTGTGTCCAATAATTACATAATATTTCCCCCAAGTTCCCTACTAGCCTGAATTAACCGACCACTTTTGAAAGGTGACACACAAATAGCATTTTGTTATAGAAAGGCCACCATTGAAATTGGGTGGGGCATTCGCTGGTGGGGTAAATCGTTTTAATCTAAATGTACGCGAAGTGTATTTTGTATACTTCTACTAAAGTGTATCAGTTGCAAGCCGTGTGACAGATGTATTGTGTATATGTTATTTTTCGACGACTGTGTTCTATAGAGATCATTCTATACATCTTCGATCAAACCCTCCAAGATCAGGACTTCGAAATTATTGTAAATAACTTTATTAATAAATTTCAGCACAATTAAATATATACGTGGTTAATAATCTTTTGGTTTTCATGTAAATTACCTCAATTTAATAGGCTTGATGTAAGTATTATATTATTATAGTTTGACAACTACACATTACTTAACCGTTGTTTTGCTAAGCGAAAAAAATATATTGCCATGCGATGCCTGCTCGTCTCATCATTACAGTTAAAAAAGCGATATGTTTGATTGATCATTATGTTTTTATATTTATATTAAAAAAGAAACATAAACATACATTTATTTGAGCTATACGAAAAGATAAATAAACATATATTTATTTCAATATGAAGAGGTATAGAATTGAAATTAAACTGTAGTGATTGTGTATACAAAATCGTGTTTAAAACTAATGTTTATCTGACCCTTTATATGAAACAGGAAGAATGCTTGTGTTGGCTAACTAAAATGCCACCTTCCTCGAGATTACAGGTCGGAGATATATCATGGAAACTTCACACAGCCTCTTACTCAATATCATGAGGTGTTATTAAATACTAAGATATATATTTACAAGAATATTAATATATATGTATAATAAATTTGAGTTTTTTATATACATGCTGTGAGATTGCGTCAAAAATTTAAATAAATATTTCAAGTATATTAATTGATAATACGCGATTTCAACTAACTATTGGTAGTATTAGCTGATATCGCTTTCATATATGTATAAAATTTGAAATTATGTATCATTAAAAAAATATATATTATTGATTACTCTGTAATACATTTTAGTTGTTTTCATCATATACTTATCTGTTTTATATTCTCATATGCCCGTTGCTTTGAGCATATTTTCATAAAATTCAGAGAAAAAAATCTGTATCGCAAAAAAGATACAATCAATGGGTCAACAGTCGTTCATTTAAAAATTGGTTATATATCAGAAAATTTTTTAAATAAAGTACAATATTAATTTTCAAATATATGTATATAATGACTCAATAATGTGATAATTAAATATATACCCAATAATATATATGTATGTATAAAACAACATAATAACTTTAAGTTTAACTTCAAGTAAATACTAAAAACTAAAACTTATTTATTTTTAGAAATTTACTTTTAATTTGCTTGCAAACGTCGTTAATCACGCTTACCACAAGTTTCCATCTACATACGTAGCGTAAAACAGTTATTCATTCATAAATCTTCGCCGTTTATTGAATGAGAAACGGGAAACGCTACGTACGTCGTATGATTACGCAAACATGTGCTAAGCGTACAGATTTTAAAACAAATATATAAAAATATATGTCAATTACATTAATATTTAGAATGTTATTAATTTATAAATATGTTGTAATTTCTCTCTCGTAATCATAATGATCTTATTTCTTAAATTTAATTTACCATTCACTTCTTAAATTTCTACGAACGGATCAGATTTCGTCCTATGAGATCTGGGTTTGTATGCTCTACGAAATACATCGGACCGTTCCGTGTTATGTAAGATTTCAGAATAATTCACTCTAATAACCACTGCATATGATATCTTGCTTGTACGAAACAGATCTCAAATGTTGCTACCATGCATTGCGTGAAATTTAGTAATAAAATATGCTAATACAATAAAAAATTAGGTACATTAAGATTATAATTAATTTCAACTTACGAAAATGTAATTTCTTAAAATTAAGACGAAAATTTTTAATCTTATTAAATGATTTCGTGGTTAAATATGTTTTTTTTTAATCATCGAAGGCTTACTTTATTATTATTACAATTTGCATATACATAAAATGGCGAATTATGAATGGGATTGTAATTTAATATAAAAAAAACGTAACTACTTGCCGTCACTAATGTGATGTTCAAGAAAATGTTGAGTGAAATTGAATAGCACGGTGTTCATGGCAAGACTATTGTCATTTGTTTTATATGAAACTAGTTTCGACTTCCGACTTCACTTGATTTCCCGGAACGAAAGTGCAATAAATCTTTTATGACTGATAAAGGAACATTAAATTGCGTAATATCGTTTAAATTAATTCAGACACACTGTATCTGCTTAAACCTGAATAATGAATATATAATTACATACATTGTAATTAGGATTTTTATTTTTTAATTGCACAAAATATATTTTTTGAAAGTTGAGATTTTTATGCCACAATCTGAAATAAATGGAATAAACTGAACGAATGGAATATACCGTTTTTGCAATAGACGGAGTTTTATTAATTTAAAATTAAATCATCAAATAAAAAACTAATTACATGTATCATATCACTTTAAAACATTCAACCATCTTTATCGAAGAATCGCTCTTAAATTGACTCTCTTTGCTTTTATTATCATATAAAGTTTAAACTTAAACCACAGCACGAAATATATATAGTACGATAAACTTAAAATGTATTAATTAGAATCAAAAATAACAAGACTTTCAAAACAGGCTTTCATTTTAATCATTTAAAATGAAAAATATATATATTGAAACTTTTACCATCTACATGTAACGACATAGCATGATTTATATTATGTAAAAGCTTCGAGAAGCTTCGAGAGGTAAATACCGCGAGCGGTAAGTAGAAAACTAGTAAATTAAGTAAACTTGAGATTGATTTTACACTTGATATCTACGTTCCGATCTCATATAAATTGCATACATACAAAAATTGCAGTTTAATTAAGCATTGTAGACACATCAACAATGTCTAGGGATATTACATGAAAACTACACATAAAAACTATTTGCTGTATAAAAAGGTTGTATATAAAATATTTTCTTCAACACTTCTTTACGAATTAAAAAAATAAATTAAAAATCTTTTACGCATCTCTTTTTATGTATTTCAAGTATAAACTTCAATTACATATATAATTGTTTCAACAAAATATATACAGAATTTCAGATAATGAGGTAAAAATTAATATTACCCAATGAATTGTCAAATTACTACTGCTGTTCCAATTCATTAATTGGACATTATACTATTTCTACTCCTATGTTATACCACAAGTTACTAATATCCATTTTTTTACTCAAAAACCAACGTTAACACAATATGTACGACTATGAATGAAAAACCTTAAACTCTCCGTAAGTAGTTGACCATGATTACTTGTGGTAAGCATACGTAATGAATAAATATAATAATACACTGATAGAGGTAACTAGTAGAACCCTGATGTTTTTTTTTTTGTTTTTGGTGTTGGTAAAAATATAACTTGAATCTTGCTAAAATAAATCTCTTTATTCCATTCGACAAACTCCTTCGTTTTTTCTCCGCATTGTAAAGATTAATAGTTCCGCAAGATTAATAATTCTTCCAACAACTGAAAACGTTGATATTGTCAAAATATTCCACGATTCCAAATCAAATAAAGCCATTGTTTAAAAAAAATATCTTTTCGAGATACTGTTTAACCTATTTATTTAATCTTCTTGTAACTTCGTTTCATCATAGATACATTCTCTACTAAACTATGCATTTTCGTAAACTACTAAAAATCTTATAACAGGACATTGTTATAATTAATTCTAGATTTATCTGATTCGTATACAAATAAGATTAGTATTCTATGTGACTTGGTTGCACGTGATATCCACTATGCATTACCGGCTAGTGAAAAGGTGTTAAAATCGTATCAGGATTTACCATCACATACGTTCAAAGCACTTACTTACTTGATATCAAATTATTAAATCAATTATCTAACTGTTTCTATAATGCAAACAAGTTTTGTGAGCGATGAAATAACATCACTTCTCAGTTATGTTCTTCCTCGGAAAAAAAAACTCAAGTTGTTCCTATTGAAGCAATGTAGGTCAAGAGACCATTATGTAACCTGCTTTACTTGATACTTAAGTTGTATAGCGACTCGGAAACATGGAAGAAACTTGTTACGCACAACGCTCATGTATAATTAGGGGTGTTTTATACAAATTAAATCTTATAACCTATAATGTTATTTATTATGAGAAATAAAGAATTAATTTACTTCTGAATACTGTGATGTTTTTCGTTTTTGAAAATAAAACCACTTTGAATTCATGTTTTCTTTTTAATTTCTTTATTCTTAAAAATAAAAGAATTGGTTTGAACATTAATAACATAAAAAAAACAAATAGTATGCCGGATTATATTCTCTAATTAATCATAAATAACAGAATACATAAAAATACGAATTAATGTTCATTTTAATAGTTTAAATCATCATCGTAATAAACGTAATCGACTTAAATAAACAAAACTTAAAACTATCGGCCGTTAAATGGATTATGCAAACTCATAACTATATTATGCACATCACTGGTTAAAATACAGAAAAGATTTCACTGTTTTGTCGCAACACAACACTATGGAGAATGTCAATTAAACTTAAAAGAAAAAACTGATTCGCATTCACGGAGCACGTTGGCGGAATTTACTCAGCGTTTATAAAACAATACTGTTTTATTGGCCTGGATTCGTAAGAATTGAGCAAACTTCAGTATACGATTCTACATTTCAGTCACGTCAGCATAAATTACCAATGACATCGCAGTAATTATTAAAACTGATTAGCTTATAATCGAAATATACAATTAATAAATATGACAAAATTCTTTTTAATATCCTCCAAGGTGTAATTAATAAAAGTTAAAGACCATCGACAAATATGTTTTTGTTTCAGACAATTTTACAATTACAGCCATAGATGTTGGGTGGAGCTTGTATGGAGATTTGAACCCCTCAGACTTTGTGGAAAACCAGGAAAATAAAATCACAGATGATAAATACGTTAATTTTTTACTTCCTTCTATCTTTCCGCTTAGATATTATAAATAATTTATTTAGCTTAATGTAAGACCCACTAAACAGTTTCCAAATCTATTGAGTAGGAAGTTAATGAAAACAAAATACACACTTTTTATATACCTCGGACATTTAATACGTCTCCACCATATTCGGCTGTTGGTTAGTTTTAGAATCTTGCGACTTATACTTAGATGTTAATTTATTTTTCATATCAGTGAAAAGTTCAACGTGATCCCTCATGAGACGTCTAAATAGAAGCTTATCTAAGAATAATATCTAAAAATACATAAACATATATAAAAGCAGTTGATTTCATAGGAACGAAACGAATGACAGAACTAACTCACCTTACTGGGAGTAAGGGCGACTACAGACGACATTCTCAATTCTCTATCCGTGACCAAAGACAACTCACAGAAATAATCCCCGTCTATAAGATGACCCTTTTCTTCATTGTTTATAGAATATACACCGAGCACACCTACATCAATAATAATGAGACCATCGCTTTGAACGGACGCCTAAAAAGTTAAGTATGCATTTCGAGTTAACTTCTATTGAATAAACATTACGAAATATTTTAATATTAAGTTAACAGATAAGTTGAATTTAGTCTTACTTGAGCAACGAGATCTCCTTGCAAGTAATGTTCTTCTTGTAGCAACAGTACTATATTCTGAATCAAAAATGAAGGCCATTCAGCAAAATACGGTATTTTGATTACCAAATGAGTGTAAGAACATAAAGAAATATCCTTTCGTAGGCTTTGCGGTAAATTCTTATAGAGTCCGTTCACTGTTTCTGTGATTGAAAGCCTTGTCATGTTAAATTCGTAGTACTTTTGCACCTTCCTTGCAAAGCTGTCAGGCAATTGTCTCCATTTGACCAAATTTGAAGTTTCCTCCAAAGTCATGACTAATTGATTTTCTGGAAAATACAATCTACCGACGCAAACATAACATTCGACAAGACTCCACATATAGAACACCATCGCTACTAGATACGCAAACAACGAAGCTATCTTGTCCAAAAAATATATGCGAGGTTTGAGACTGAAGCTAAATAGCAAAAAAGATTTGCATATTCTAGCAAACTCTACGCAGATAAGCATTGCATTTGATAACGGCTTCTCTTCGCCGTGTTTTAGCCTAAAAATTGTAAGGAAGTATGATCTTTCATCTGTATATCCAGTAGCTATAATTGTAAGGAGGTTAATGGTATCAGATATGTTCATGATTATAAGCATTGTGGCTAAACCGAATACAAAAATACGAAGGAATTTGTAAAAATAAGTGGTCCTAAACGATCCTCCCTGCCTGTTCCAATATCGAGTGACATCAAATAGTTTGTACAAACGAAATATACTCAGAATTTCCAATGTGGCCACAAATTTGTTGGCCTTGCAGGCAGAACAATTGATTTTACGGCCGTACCTCAAAAACAGTATACATTGTAAAGGTAGCGATGACACAACGTGTGCGAATAGCTTAGTTGACGCGTAGTGTATTAAAACTTTTTTTGAATTAAGGACAATCTTCCTGGATTCATAGTTAATGTAGCCGGTCCTCGAAGTCACATAAATATCAAAGAAGATAATAAATTCAAGAATGACAGCGATAAAATAGACCGACCAGTCGAATTCACCGTAAATATTTGAAGTGCTGTGAAAAAACAGCGCCATGTTTAAAAGTACAATGAATAACATGAAGGGGTCCCATACATGTCTGCAAGGAAAAATTCAAGTTAGTTACTATTTAAACATAAACATACTCAAGTAAGAAGTTTACCTGAACTTGCTAAGTGGATGTATAGTCGATCTGTATAATCGGAATTGCTTCAATCTGTCCATTCTCACGGCATGCGAACTGCCGTAGAATAATCTAACTCTCGGATCATTATGTGAAAGGAGAAAAAGGTCATGCCACCAGCGCTTGAAACATGACACCCAATTGGTGCCCCGCAAACTAATCTCCAATACATCTTTTTCGGTCACAATAAGACAGACGTGGTCGTGATAGGACTCTTGAAAATCATTCCAATATCGAGACATTTATATATTTTTTCAACCTAATCAAAATATTTTACCTACTTCCTAAAATTATAATGGACGTATTGGAATAGACTCACTACAATTCTTGTCATTATTATTTATGATACTTTCTCTAGGTGGCCGGTTTGTCGTTCTAAAACAATACACAAAACCTCATTTACCTATACTCAAAAGTTAAATTCAGCACATTGTGTACATACTGTTACTTTTTTACGAATAAAATATTTTAATAAATTTATATATATTAAATTATAAGAAAAATGTACATACTAATATACCAAGCATCCTATTAAATATAGCAAATATTTTAAAATTGCTAAACAAATTTGGTGCCACTTTCAACATGAAAAGATAATATGACGATTCACAATTTTGATGTAGCCTGTTCTTTATTGTTGGCATATACCATAATTAAAAATAATTGTTTCAATATAATTGATATTTTGAATATTACCAACATATTATTTATAAACCTAAAACATTTTTCCATTAACTTAATATAGAATCTCAGTACCTATTCAAAATTTTATCGATATCCATACCATCGACAAGACAATTGCAAATCGACCACAGTGTTAACACTCTACCAGTGGTTTCCGTTGAAAAATTAATCATTAAACGACATCTTTTAACGCCACATACCGTACGAATTAACCGTAAATTCCATCAAAAACATTTATCTTCTGTCTACCAATTTTATGAAATAAAATAATAAATAACGGTGTCACACGAGCATTATATTAGAAGGAGGTTTTGTAAAATATATAATTTTATGTATAAACTATAGTATGTGTGTGTATATATAATGCGATTTTATACGATATTTTACGGACATAACATTTAAACCGACGGCTACAATCTCACATAGGTAATTGAATTAATACGAAAAATAAAAAATGGCAAAGAGTTGAAGTAAAACTGGGGACTTGATACTAAAAATTAAGGTTATTTCCCTTATAATATTTTCTACAATATATGATATTTAATTTGATACTGCTATATATTAAAAATGTAATCTTAAAAGTATTGCATTTATAAACTGTAAAAATCAGAGAATTGACAAATTTATAGTCTGACAGATAGCAATAGACAAACAATAGGCGGCCATTGAATTTGTTTATTTGAGAATATAAGATAGTAGCCATCAAAATGCCAAAAAATATAACGAGTGAAGTACGTGATATAATATTAAAAGTAAAGGAATTTATGGACGAAGAAAAACGTATGCAAGTACCTATAATACCTCTGAGTAAAGTTTATGTTAGAGTTTCCGCCGCTACTGGTTAGTACTACATATCACATCAATTTATTCAATATTTTTATATAACTTAAATAACTTACCAACTTTTATTACATAAACAATCCCATTTAAGAAGAAAATATACTGCTAATCCTTAAAAAATGTTAGGCATTGTGCGTTTTCGTTATTATCATCTTTGTTTTTGTCTGTAGTAACTGTTAAATATTTTTTCAATTTTTCGACTTCTATTAATGTTTCACTGTCAGCAATCTCGTCGGAGCTAAGAAAATTTATTAATAATGTCTAACTTAAGTGTTCTTAATAAATATTTTTAGTGGTATATAAAAAAATATACAAGTATATGTAGATTTAACTTTATATGTTTACTCACTAAGATATTATTATTATTATAGGTGTCTCAGAGAGAACTATACTCAACATAGTCAAAGAAGCGAGGCTCGTTGAACAAGGTTTGTTAGATCCAGAAACATTAAAGAAATCACCAAAAAAACGTGTCAGAACAAAAGGAAAAATCGAAGTTGACGAATATGACTTACAAGTAATAAGAAGGAAAATTCACGAATTTTATGCTTTCAAGAAAGAAGTGCCTACTATCAACAAACTATTGCAGATACTCAAAGAAGAAATAAATTTTAAGGGATCAAGAGAAACATTGAGAAAAATTCTACGCAAGAACGGTTTCCAATTCAGGAAGACGAAAAATAGCAAAGACAAAGAGCAACCTCCTGAATCTACTTCGTCTGTACCACCGATGGTGCCTCCATACATACATTCAATGTTCAGTCATAAAAATATACAATCATAAACATTGAAAGTAATTTTAAAACATGTAACTATTATATCGCCTGATTTTTTAGTTTTTAGACGATAATCGTGTTTGTGAATATATAGTGAGTATCTCAAATGTAATGAAATTTTGATATCAATTATTAGACATTTGGTTTTTACTATGATTTTATATAATATGAATTTGGAGCATATTTTAAGCATCACTATAGGTAATTAACAAAAAATCCTGAACTACTTGACGATGATGTAAAATAGTTTAAACCGACTGCATACTCATATACAACATACATACATATACATATATGATTAACTGTAAACAGATACAGGGCAATGGAATATTATTAATCTTGTTACTGAATGTTATTCATACCTGTTAATAAATTCCTGTTAAGTTTTAAAATGTATTCATCTATTAAGTTGGTCTCTCGTTAATTTACAGGATGTCTTTTTATCTACAATTGAAGTTTTAACATTTATTTGTACAGATCTCTTTAGTGGTTAAGCTAATATAACTGTTGCATAGGTAATTTAGTTTTATATAGACTTTTATATGTAGACAATTTCATTACCTTTTAAAACGCCTGTTATGAAGTATTGTATCGTTTTGTATAAACAATGTATTAATAGGATTTGTATCATAATATATAATCATAAATAAATGAATAAATCATTGTAAACAGTTAAATTTATATACAAAATAAAATAATTTTAACATAACACTATTTTATTGTGGAAAAGTCGATGGAAAAATAACTAAAAACATTCAAGTTTAAACACAGATATATTTCAGCTAATATTTTTTCCATAATTTATAATATTTATTAAAATTGACACCAAAACTAACTTAATAATTTTCTTACATTATAAAAAAAAATCTCTAAATAAAAATAGATATAATACAATAATTCACCAATTAATTTCAAATTATTAAACACTAGAACATTTTGAAATTATAGAATGCAAACAAACTTAGTGTAAAGTAAAAATTTATTCTTAAGAACTATATGTCTATAAAAATTATAAGACTGTACATCAAACTACAAAATTCTACATATATTCATTATTTTTTTAAATAATATTAAATTAAATACAAGAAAAACTACCACCAATAATGATTTCTGTTAATATTTTAAGCAAGTCATAAAGCAAGTGCCAGTGTCAATACACTTGTTATCTGTATTCATATAAATCCAATATTAACGTGCTTAATAACTAACAATGCTGTGAGATACAACTACAGCGAAATAATATTAAATATTGTAAATATAAACAATATTTGTTACATTAAAAATTGCACAAAATATGGCTTATGAAACTAACAATCACAAAATAAGCACCTTGCGAAATCCAACAAATTGCTATTTTCTCACTATATTTAGTCTAAAACTATACTCACAATAGTTTAGGAATGAAAAATCTTTGAAGAAGTAATTTATGATTTATTTTAGGTACTAAAAAAATTACAATTTCAGTAGGGAGGTCAAAAAAAGGAGGCCGAATTAATTATGAATGGAAATAGATAGTATGAAGTAAAAACAAATTAGTGACTTGATCTTACAGCAAGCTAATACGATTACATCCTTAGATAAATGATGGATATTTTAATAGACATTTGATAATTAATATAACACCATGTGTATTTGATTCAACATAGTCCATCTTCATCGTCATTCTTAACATCAAAAGCTGGTGTATCAAATGATTGTTGGCCAGTATTTCCATCGTTGCCCTCCTGTAACTAACACATAAATATAAATAAATATATGTACATATTCTTCTTCTACCTGGCAATTTCCCAGCTTTAGCCAGGGTCTGCCTTACATGTTGTGAATAGTTTTGGCTAATTGTTTTTACGACCGGCCGCATGCCTGACATAAACCCTCTTTGGGAATGCATTCATCAGTGATGTCTAAATACTCTGAGAAAGTACATATGACTCGGAAAAATTACATTGGTACTTGCCAGGATCGAACCTGCGCCCTCATGCATGAGAGGCGGGCCTTTTAACCACTAGGCCACCACTGACTTTTTGATATTATTATTTTAAATTTCGATGGCTCCTATGTACATATAAGGCCACGAGCAAAATGACAATTTTACAGAAGAGACGTTTTAAGTTTGATTTCAAAATATCTTGTACATGTGAAAACTGATGCTTTGGAAACTATGCATAGGAACTCTGACATACAATACAATAAAAACTAAGTCTCTCCACCAACAAATACACATTTTTTTAAATGGATAGAATACAGTATTATGAAATGTTATAACAAAAATGGCTTAATTGCTACATTGGCCCTTATATAGAGGACCCAACAATTGGTCATTAATTTCTTCATATACCTCAGAGCCTGGGTTAGCGTTGGGGCTGACATATGATGGTGCTGCATTTTCCCTCACATTAGCCTTTGGCATGGGATCAATAGCTTCTGGTAGAGGCACAGTGGTAGCCAACCTTGCGTATTCAACATCCATACTCCTTATAAAAGGCGATGCGAGCGCCCTCTTAGCAGATTCTCTATCCTCTTCGTCATATGCTTGTAAAAGTTGCTCGATTGTCTGCATCTCTGGAGCCTCACAATTGTTACCCCATTCCTTGGTAGAAGTAATCATAGGTTTTAATATTACTTATTAAACTATACAATTTGAATAAACATAATATATATGGACAATACATAAAATTCTACCAATTACAGTCCAATTCTGAAGTTTTTAAGACATAATTCTAACAAATTATTTATATGATGATAATAATGTTTCAATTACTAACTTTGTAAGCTTTTTCAGCTGCCACAGCATCACCTCTAGCCAACTGTACCAACACTATAGCAACTGTCAATCTCCCAACAGCATTTATATTCCCAGATTCCTGGTGAAAACCGATCTCACGACGAATACTGTCTACAGCTTCATCATATCTATATAAAAAATATATATTTAATATTCAAAAACATCAATAAATCTGTGTAACTATTGATATCATATCAAGAAATGTTACCGTTCCAATTTCACCAAAATTCTTGACGACTTGCTTATGTACTCCGATCCCTGATGTTGGCCACTCTCAGTCTAAAATATGTCGAAATAATAATTATTAAATTCTAATACAGTTGAAGTTAATAATTATTACTCAAAATTACCGAAGACACATCAGCTGCTTGTTGGAAAAGTTTAACGGCCAATTCTGGTGCTCTATCCTCGATAATCTTTGCCACTTTATCCAAAACATTGGCTCCGGAATCACCAGAACCATGTTGTTGATACAAACTACTGGATTCCAGACCCATATTATAGAGCTGGAAAAATAATTGGTATATTACATATAAGTTATAATATATACTATTACTTTTGGTTGACGGTTTAAACCAAACCCCTTAAAGCAGCGATTCAAAAACTTATTTCATACAAACCCAATTTGAGAATAAATTATTTTTTTGTGCCCCCATACAGTCACCTACTGGAAAACCACTATAACTAATGCTAGCTAAATGAAATGACAAATCACCCCCATTTTTTTCTGTATCTTTAACAACCTCTCTTCAAGCCTACACAAGGTTGTTGTCACCTACTTTGGGAAATACTGCCTTAAGGTCTAATCAAATAATACTACTTATAATAAAATGTAAATGTTTTGTATATAAATCCATACCTCTTCGGGACTCGCAACCTCTTTGCTAACAATAACAGCATTTTCAATAGCTTTAGCCGCATGGAAGTATGAATGATTTTTCGTGTAAAGCTCGGAGGCCTTCATGTAACATTCCTTTGATTTATTTACATCCCGTGCAATACGGTAGCATTGAGCTAGAAAGAAAATATGATATCAAGGAAATAAAGCCTTAATATTTATATTACATTATACTTTACCAACTTTATTTTAAGAGGAATTGATACAAAGATCTACATATGAATATGAAACTATTAAATGATTTTTAGGACTGGCTTTAACATAATACAAGAATTGTAAGTCAAGCTCAACATTACATTAGACTTTTGCATATTTTTTTATGAAATAGAATCTGTTGGTATTAAAATTTATTATGTAAAGCTATATTAAGATACTTTTATAAAAGTTTTAAGAGACTTCACCAAGGTAATATCATGATTTGTTGGTAAATGGTTATATATGATTAAAAAATAAAACCAAATACCTGCTTGATTGTATTCATCAGCTGCCGAGTCAAAATCTGGCTTCCATTTTAAGAATGATGTCTTCAGGCTGCAAGAAATTGAACAAAATTTGCTATAGAACTAACTTTTTATTCATGGGCACTTAATGGTTCTGTACCAAGTTATTGTTTGAACTGATATACATTGTAGTAATATTTTTAAATAAAAGAATTATTCGCAGTACAATATTAAAAATAACTTGTGATATTGAGCAAGAAATATTTCAAAAGATTAAGACATTTTATTTTATGTACCAGTTGAGCAGTGACAAAGTATTATCTTGTAATTATATTCTATTACACAATTAAATTAAATTCTATAATGTATATATATGCTTAGAATTCATTAAGTCGCTTAGATATAAATTCGCCTTGCAAAACTTTAGATGCGGCGGTTCCAAAAACATGAAAATAAATGAAAAACCAATACATTTCATTTAGTACTTACAATTTCTCGGCAGCCTTGCAGTGCTCTTGAGCTTCGTGTAATTTACTAGACATGTTTAACTTTAAATGTACTTTTCTTTTGAGAATCAAAAGACACAGTATGTTCTACTTCCAGTTACAAGAAAAATCAATAACTTTGCTTTGGTCACCCACTGACATATTGTCAAGTTACAATGACAGCACTTCTAGACAAAAAATATATATAACATACATAAAATAAACTTACATTAAACAAGAAAATATACCCGAATTAGATAAATAATTCCCTAATAATATCTATAAAAATTGTCTAAATTTAAATAAAAAACTATGTAATTAATTACTATACTTAGTGGCTACTCAACACATATGATAAATATAAAAATAGTAGTTAACATTTTATTAGATGTTGGTATGTTTCGAAAAAAAAGTTATGATGTGCAAACAAATATATTCCTTCATAATATCATAAAAATACGAGAAAGAAACCTCCGTTTATTAGTTTATTATTTTCTATTGGAGTCATTATAAATTATTATACAGCAAAAACATATTAAAGCCACTCAAATGAAAACCCCGCTGAATAACTGAAAGCAATTAAAAATTTATAACTAAGATTACGATAGGTATGGAAAATGTGTAGCTACCGATATTTTTATTACACTTCATTCAAAATACTGAAAGACGATCCTGGAATAAAATACAACTATTGATATTTATTCCATAAAATATCTATTGAAAGAACTTTAATGTGTTCGTCTATATTTAAATTTCATTTGATAAGGTTAATAGTTTTGTAAAGTAATTTAATTTATTCTAATGAAGATTTCATCAATGTATTTGATTGGCTGGATTGATGTAAAAATTGGATGTAAAAAAACTTTTATGTAATTTTTGAAAGTGTCCTAAGAATGGACTATTATCTTTGATTTAGGGTTATCCAATTGTATAAAAGTATTTGATAGAAAACTACATATTTGATTCCGTCATAATTAGCACTCATGAACTCTGAAACAGATTTACAAAAGGCGGTAAATATGTTAAATATTTGTCATAACATCGGTTTTATAAATTTATATTTCAACGAAATTTATTTTTCACCCTCATAAACCCCAGTAATTGTCTTTTTCTTGGAATATACTTCACAGTAACGTCAACAATAAAATCGAGTCTTGTTTCTTGAATCACAGAATCTTCGGGACATATTAATTTACTGAACGTACTTTGCTTATTCCCGTATTTATACTCTTTGCACCCATAATAGAAACATGGTATTATTCATTCACTTATCTTCAACTTACTGATCACTTTTAAAATAGGGCTGCCGGCCTTCAAGCGGCTTCGATATCAAGGTAAATAGGATCCAATTATAAGAGAAATAGAATCTAAAATCGTAATACCGTGAATATGCTCACGAAAAAGCAGGATACTTATACTGCACACCTAAGTTTAAAATACATGCAATTCTTAATGTTTGTTTAATAAAACCGACAGGATTTTGTTTCTTTATGTTTCTTAATATATTTATTAATTAGTAAATTAGTAAAGCTTAGGATTATTTTTAATATCAAATTGGAAGTAATTTGAAAAGGTAACCATAATGTTGGTAAAAAACAAATAAATAATTAATAGCATACATATATATGTATATATACCTATATATTAAGTATTCGAGTTATGGGTTATAGGAATGTACGTAATTAATTACGTTTTACATAACAGTCGAGTTTAAATAAATTATACGCTTCAAAATTTTAAGTCCCAAACTAATGATATTATAGTAAAAAATTACAATATATTAAAAAAACAACAATTATTAAATTCATATAAACAACTCATATACGAATTATTTAAATTTACTTGTTGTAATTGAAATAACACTTCATGTTTTAAATTAATAGTTAGGACATTACATATACTTACCTACCTATCTTATATTTATTTTTCTTTGAATCGCGGAACTCCCTCTAAATATACGAATTAAGTTATACTTAGTAAGTACAAGTTTAAAATCATGTTAAAACATATGACTCTAAATGCAATTGACTTGTGGCAACTGAGTAGATTTAGATTAGACCAAAATAATTGTCTGGCGGCAGCTAAGACGCTGTCCATTTATAGATTACTTGTGAAATCTTAATTAGGAATGCTATAAATTCCTTTAAAAGCTATAGATAAAGCTATTTAAGCCTTTATATGTGGTTTGGGACCAATAACTCAATATAACAACGAATGATTGAAAGCTTAGCTCATAAAACGTATATTGTGTACCGTTATCATGAAAATATATTATTTTTTGAACAGGCAATACTTTCAATCATAGAATATCTAGATGACTGAGCAGGGGCAGGTATATTGAGTTTTAATTCGACTTCCGTCTATTCTCGAGTTGTTATGAAACGAATATTTCACTAAAACTTGTACCGTTCGTAAATATATTAGTTTTATATTGCATTTTTAATAAAGCATCCTAAAATACAAGAGTTATTTGTACCAAACGATATTCAGTTCTACAGATAATTTTACGAACACTGATTAATCAAATTAAAGTACTTTTACGTGTTTAATCTATAAGGATTATACATTATTATTATTATTATGAATAGTAATAATAATAATACGAGCAGCTGTAAGTCGTACTTAAAAATTTCCACGTGAGAACATTGAAGCGAGGATCCCCCGCCTCAAAGCCCCACGCAAGACGGGGGGAAGAATGAAAAGAAAATCGTATAACGGTTCAAGAGCCCCAATTATATTATTATTATTATAAATACATCCATATAACAATCACAGCTTTATGTGTGGAATAATTTATCATCGCGATCTTTTGTGAGCGTCCGAAATCCGCCTGAGAAGAGTTAAAAGCTAATAGGTACATTGATGCAAGCGTTTTGTTTATGTGAAAATTATTATATTTTATTATCTGTTTATTTTGACAGAATCTATATGAAAAATGTAAATCATTAAAACCTACTTGTAGTATTCGGCTGAGTAAGCAATTTTTGTTTTAAACGCCAAAAAAAAACAATATTTGTTTAGACATATAAATCCAGTTGATAATATATCATTATTTCAAGGAAGCAAACGCTTAAAAGAGTCCGCTATAATATTTTTTTCTTCGGTTCAATGCTGTCCATACAAGATATATGTAAACAAATAGATAAAGTCGCCTACCTGTATTGCAATCTAAATTTAATTGATAAGCATCCACTATTGATACATTGCTTATATTTACCTGTCCCGTGTTATTCCCACGCTTACCGGATAGATGTATATTCATGAAATGATTGAAAAAAGCTTTTAAAAATTATGCTGATTATACTTTACGATTTAATGTATAGATTAAATGTAGAAGTTTCATTAATCTGATATAAATTATATGGTATTATAGTTTCAAATTATTTAATTAAATATATGTATATACATTTTTTTGTTCTTATATATATGTAGTAAGAATGGAATTATTTAGGTTTGTAAAATCATTGTTTTATAATTATATATTTTAGCGTTACTCTCCATACTACAGGCATTTTTTTTATTTATAATATTTTTTTTATTTTTTTCTGGAAACCACTTTTTTGTTATATATTTATAGAGCTAGTTGTCTATGGAATCATTTTTGGCATTCGCAGCCCCAACTTATGTCTTATTATAAAAAATAAAAGTCATATACACCAAAGAGGTGACTTACGCCTCATAGTACTCATTACAGCACTTAAAGCTTTATTGAAAAGGCTTTACGACTTGTAATGTGAATATTTCTTCAAAACGGAAATTAAAATAGACGGAATTACTGTTGTTACATAAAATAAAAGTTTCCTTGACATTAATCGTATTAGTTCTTAAAGAAAAACAATTGTTGACAATAATATAGGAAACAAATAAAAAATATATGTATTAATAGGTGATAATATAGTAAATTTAGGGTACCGTTGAATGAATAACAGTAAAATCTGACCAGTCAAGGTATTATTACTGTAAGGCGGAGGGCACATGCAGGTGTGAATCGTGGGAAATCTTTCCCCTAACGCCTAGGACACACTTTTAGCAGGCGGAGGGCGATTCGCAAAACGGTAGGGGTAAGATTCTCACGGCCACTAAGATATTGGTTGACAAATACAGGAGTACTGTTAATATATATCCAGTCTATTATCACCAAAATATTTCCACTGAACCGTTATTTAATATCGATAAAAAAAATTACAGCTGATTAATAAAATATAATTAATTTTATTATAATTCTAGTGATGGACATTTATTTTTTATATAGATTTTGAAACATCACTCACAATTCGACCAGGTGTCAAACCTCACCGTGAGATTCCTGAACGCGCCAGGGGACGTCTCCCTAATAGTCAACCATTGCTAACTTTTGACATTAAAGATATTATATATAATGGCGGCAAAATTAATAGCAGGTTCATAGTAATATATAGAACAAGTATCCGAATTACAGATACAAAATAAATTTAAATTCATATTATCTTTTTGTTATAATAATGAATTAAATTTATACAGTAATTTCGACGAATTCATTTAGTTTAAATTCATATGTAATTTTCATATATTAATATAACATAATCGGATTATGTTTAATAATTATTGAAAATATGATTTATTTGTACGAGTACATATAAATCAAATTATATTCGACCGAAAGCAATTCGTAGTATTAATTTTAATTACTGAAATACGAATTAATTTGATATTCGGACAAACGTATTTGGTTATTTAATATTAAGGTGGCAAAGGCGAGTACACAAATTTATTTCAACAATATATATATTGATTGGTGATATGTTTGAGATTTTTTTCTTAATTAGGTACTTAAATCGCGGCAAAGATTATGAAAAGGATAATATATTGATTTAAGAGTAATGTAATTAACGAATTAGTAGATGACTATTTCGTTTTATTAACTTTCTTGTATTTATACGTCAATCCGGATCACACTTGACATACCGTTAAAACCTTTTCTTCAAATCAAATCATCTCATAACAAACATTTAAAAAAACACGTCTACAATTATCTCTGATAAATTCTCAATTTATACTTAAACTTATTCTTTTTAATAAAAACTAAAACACAAGAAGTCAAATCAAGTCTTATTTTTAGAATTAAAAAAAATAATGACATTAATGTGACATTAACTTAACAAATAATATTGAAATAAATTAATATACCTACCTATATTTAGAAATATGAATTATAAACATATGTATAAACTACTCAATTATCGGTTTACGTGAGTACCATTCATATTGTAAATGATTTGATTATATTTTGTATTTTACACTAGCTGTGCCCGCGGGTTCGTCTGACCGGGATTTTTTTATTATCATTACTTTTATGCAAAAAAAATAGTGAAATACCCGCTAAAATTGGTCCTTAATTTCCACTTTTACCTGGAACAGGCAGACAGATAGACAGATATTTTAGTATATATATAAGTATGCATGGCCCGGGCAAGTACCAATGTGATTTTTCCGAATCATATGTACTTTCTGAGAGTATTTAGACATCACTGATTAATGTTGATTCCCAAAAAGAGGGTTGATGTCAGGCAGGCGGCCGGTCGTAAAAACAAATAGCCAAATACTATTCACAACATGTAAGGCAGACCCTGGCTGTAGCTGGGAAATTGCCAGGTAGAAGAAGAAGATATATAAGTATGTTTTATGGCGAATATCAATACACATTGAACAAAAATGGCGATTATTTTACAATTACAAAAATATCCACTTATACTTATTTGTAAGATTGGATTAAGAGAATGACTTCTGTAGGTACAATGAAATAAGCAACCATCAGCATTGTAAGTAAATCTTAACTTCGGAACTTAAAGTCTACAGTTTTTCGTCATTAAATTATTCCTAGAAGTAATTCCAGTTCCAACAGTGTTCTGTAACACGAATAATATAAAACATAGCTCGAAATCAACTAACTAAACACGCTTAAGAAATACTTCTTTTTTCATTAGTGTCATTCCCTTGTAGATTTCGCAAATGTCATGTTACACTGAAAAGAAATGATATTTTAATGAAATTTTACTTCGCTTTAACAAAATAATTTAAAGAGAATCGCCAGCAATTATTTAAAAAAAACCTAGATTATTTTTGTTACATTTTTTTTTCATCACCATATTGTTTGCCTTAACTAATAAAGATTACTTTTGAATCTCAAATTATCAATATATTATCATTCCACAAAGCAAATTATTTTCATAAACTTAATTATTTTCTTATATTTCAAGTTTCCATGCTTTAAGGGTTTACAATTTCTTTTTAACCCGAAAATTATGCAAACATTTTTTACGTCATAAAAATTGCGTTGCCATATGTTAACTTAAATACATAAGTAAAATCTGAGTTTTGATACAGTAAAGATAATGGAAACAAAAGAATCCTCAAATAGACTGTTTAATTTATCAAAAGCTATAAAAATCCGTATCTAAAATAACCAGAATAAATTATTCTCATAAAATATGTAAATTTAACACAAGTGCGAAGCCACGCTCAAAAACTAGCTTAGAAATATGTACATAGTTATACTTAAAAATTAAGATTTATAAGGAGTTTGCATTAAAACAAATAAACTTTAAAAAAATATGTAGATACAATATAAATGAATAATACCATACAATCTTACAATTATAAAGAAAGATATATAATTGAATAATAATAATATGGAGATCATTATACAGTTTAAATTTTTTATATTCAATAGATTAGAGGGTGTTATCAAGACGCTAAGACACCCACGTCTATAACAAAGACAGCTGTAGCTATAGGGCTGCTATAAGTAAGTATTTATTTCTCACGATCCTCCATCTGCGTAGATTTCGGACCCTTCTTAACTTCATCGCGTATTACACAATAATAAAACTTGCTTTTATTATTTTTCTACCCTAGCACTGATTTCATATAACGGGACTCATTCGCTGTGAGGACATCGCGCGTGCTACATCGGAAGTTCCGCTGGAAGTTTTTTTTTTTTTTTTTCGAATAAGTGTTGCTACAAGCTGTTTGTGTATTGGATATCGGCTGTATTGGAAATTAAAAAAAAAACATGCAAGCGTTGTTCGATTCTCAAAAATCTGACATTAGAAGCTTGAATATGTCAGGTGAGTTTTTAATTTTTTTATTCGCTACGCGTCATCGATATCGTTCCGTTTGAAATTGTTTTCGTAGAATTTGTTTTTTTAATATTATAATGAGGTTTTATATTCATTTTATATTTTAAATTTAATATGAAAGATATTTTCAGTGAACAATTTTGAGTTATTCATCGTAAAAGATGCAGTTAGTGGAATAGAAATTGATTTAAATTATTTGTAATCCGTATAACAAATCCAAGCGTTAACAGCCTGGTCTCGAGTAGGTATATCAAGTGAATGTTTAGATGTTTAATGAAGTTCTAACTTAATCTCACGGAACTATAAGTTTCTTAGGAAATATTTTTTCTCTCGGCCGCATGACTTTAAATTAAATTCTAACTTATATTATGTCCCGCGTCGTTCGTTATGGAAATTTTTAGATATCTTTATACATATTTTAAAATTTATGGACTAAACTACATTCTACTTAAATTGTTGTAACCTATTTTGAAGTGAGTAAAACTTATTAATAATGATCAATATAAATATTAATCATAATAATTAGACAGATTTTTAATATGAATTAATATTATTGACTACATATTGAGTAATATGAAAAAAAAAACTGGAAAAAAGCAATAAATTACTTCGCGTTACTTTCTAATCTATTTCCTCAACAAAAAACATATTTTTGGAAATTAAATTTTAAATAAGTTGACACCTTGTCGATATCAAAATTGTCACCAATACAAAATGACTGTAAATCTATCATTTACAATGATCATGGTACACGAAGGCTTACTCTGAAACCTAGTACGCTGTACAGCATGCGCATACGCATACGCATAGCCACCGCGTTAATCTCCTTGACATCGGCGCTATTTTCGCGAAGACATTCTGTTGGGCAATAGGCAGGTATGGGGGCGGCTGTCAGTCGCGCGCGACGCGTCCACGCAGATGGACGTGTATCGCGTTAAATTAATAATATCAACCTATGTCCATTTATTTTGTGGTGCGGGGAGAAGACGACCGGTTAGTTCTCTCACGCCCGGCTCGACCTCACCGCTCACTGTACAACGGATCTCGTTCTTAGTGCATCTTCGTTAAAAATGTTTAAAGACAATGCGATTATTACAAATGTTTCTACGTTCTGATTGAGGAATTGTGCTTGCTTTTGTACCGTATTACTGGATGTGAAATATGTATGTTGAATTTTTTTTTACTTGTAATAAAAGTATTCGTTTTAAATAGATATATAATTAAATATATTAACCTATATATTTGTCTGATATTTGTAAATACGCTAACAAGGTGCAACATTCAAGTAAATTCACAGTATTGAAGTACATACACAGTTTATGTTTCGTAATAAGTTTTAACTAACCGACAGACCGCCGAATAGTTTGCTTTGATATATCTAATACCTGCTGCTTTCAAATTTAAGCTCGAATCTTGTCTAGAATATGCCCGTATTAGTAACTAATGATTACCTATACCTATGCGATATAACTTTAGAACGTCGATGTATTAAAACTAAATATTTTCCATAGTAAATAATTCGTTTTATAACTGAATTAAATATGAATCAAACTTTTAAATTATATACTATTATGGGTAAAACCAATCACTGTTAGTTTTACCATAAACTGACCTCGTGACATCACAAGTCGAGGTCTGCGTCTCTTAAACTTACTCTAGAAGTCTTAACAACTCTGTTAGACTTAAATCTTTCATTGATCGAAACGATTCCTTCAGAATTAGTTTTGTTTTCTACTATACTTCCTATGTTCTATGTTTCGTTAATAAACCTTAGTTTGTTTTAACGATACAAAACAGTATGTCTATATGAAAGTAAACATCGTATACCGCCATATAACATGCCCGTCGCTGAAGCCCTGCCTCATAGCAACAGATCGACTTACATTTCTTCGACCCCTTCGTCCTACATCACAAAAACTCTATTAGCAACGCCTTAAAGACATAATCGCACTCAAATCCATACCTCAAACTTTGGGGGATTTCTTTTGTACCGCCGCTGAAGGGATCCCATTGGTCTAAAAATATTTTCGCAGTACCAATCGGGCTTTAAGGATAAGGGTCGAGCCCATTCAACGAACAGATGGATCAAAGGTGCAATACATTATCGCTATTTGCCTATGTTTTGTCATCTCGTTCAGTAAATAAAGAAAAAACATCACCTGCCCTCAAACATTAAGGACTGTTGTTGGATGTTCAGTCGCCTAGTATTAATTGCTACATAGAGACGTGTGCTCTGAACTAACATAACATATGTATACGGAAAATTGAAATATACGTTGTGGTTCCTTATATAAAACTGTGTTTATTTTCCATCAGGTTGGCATGCACCGCTAGGGCCGCCAGGGCTCGGAGAAGGCAGCAGCGGCTTCGCGGCTAGCATGGCGGATACAGCAGCAGCTTCTCACAACCCTAAGTACATGCACAAACGTCGTCGGCTCTCGCGTTTACTAGACAAGCTAGCCGTTCAGATACGCAACAACAACCACTACCCTCGCTGGCTGATGCTCGACTCCAACTGCAACGAGGCCAAGTCAGAAGACGCACCTCTCGATCTCTCCTTGAAGTCCGAGACGCCTAAAGTTTCCAACGAGCCTAGCACCAATGGCTACATGTGTAACACATGCGGGCAGACTTTCGCCGTTCACGACCGCCTCGCCAAGCACGTGGCCTCGCGTCACAGGGACCGACCTCCGGAGACAGCTCGCGCATACGAGTGTGAGATATGCCGGCGACGTTTCGCCCGCTCGGACATGTTGACGCGACACGCCCGTCTGCACAGCGGCGTCAAGCCGTACTCTTGCTCGGCCTGCGGGCAAGTGTTCTCTAGATCAGACCACCTCGCCACTCACCAACGCACTCACACCGGCGAGAAGCCCTACCGCTGCCCGGCCTGCCCGTACGCAGCCTGCCGCAGAGACATGATCACCAGACACATGAGGACCCACACACGGAAACCTCAACCCGCTGAAATATAAACGACCAACATATCTTGACCCGTTCGTTGACTGGCTTCACGATTGGACACGGTTTCTGCTGACTGGTTGTGGTATTTATCTATTCACTTATTAATTTATTATTAGTTATAAGCTGTTACTATTTTGTAATTATTTTTTATTCGTTTCTATAATAGGGCACTAACTGGCACTTCGGTAGACTCCAGTGCGTAGGTAAGGAAGGACATATCACATTGCTAAGTAGCGCAGAAACAGCGAATTCTTTGAGCGATTTTTCTTATTAAAAATTTATTATATGTAGAATATGTTCTGCTTAGCGCAATGCGATGTGTCTTACCTGTGAGATCGAAATTAATGTTGCTGTTTTCTTAAATATATTCAGTACTTGACAATCATTGACTCATTCTAATATTTTTTTACTATCAAGTAGGGACGCTTTTTTGTTTTATAATATATATTTTTGTGTTCATTGAATATTTTTTTGAAGCTCTATATACGATTTCCTTAACCAAACTTTTATGTTCATAACATAAGAGCTTTGCGATTGTTATTCGGCACCTTTAGGTACCATTATTTATTACGTTATTTTTAAGTTCTCACGTTGTATTAGTTAAACGTTTTTCGTTAAAGTTATTATAAATTAAAATTAACGTTTTACACTTATAATATTTTTTGCAAAAAACTATTACGTCTGCTTATTGTAGTTTAAAAATATTTAGACTGTTAAAGAACTCAGTTGATAGATTACGCTTCATTTTTTGTATAGGAACATATACGACTATTCTTTTGTAGTTTTTAGTGTTAAAGATAATATTAAATTCAAATCACTGTCTACAATGACTGCTTATTTTGTATATAATTTGATACAACCCACCGCGTTTCATTACAATAATCAATAGGTTATCAAACTTATTGATCTATGTACCTAGAAATATCTATTAATATAGACTATATATAAGTTTAAAAATATTTTTACGAAAAAACGTCTTTTTTGTTGAATCAGGTGGGACAAAAACTGATATCTATATATTCATATAGTCCAATTGGATGTTTAATAATGATACTGCCAATTAGAAAGTTATATTTAAAAAAATCTTACTAGCGACAATAGAATTATTAAAATTAATCTTATATATAATGAAATAACTTCAATCAGATACCAAACCATTGTATAATGAACTTTGAATTCTACTCAACTTTACCATGAAGTATTATTATGAAAATGAAATAATCGTATTTATCTTATTGGTTCCTGATACAAAAAAACTATATGTAAATACTTTACCTCACTTATTATATATATGTTCCCAAGATATATATAAAAAATCTGTATACAATTAAGTATAAAATTTTCCAAAAAGTTAATTACTCTTAATTAAAATTAGGTGTCTATAATCTAGTTTTAAGATATCTTTAATATATTTTGTTTGTCTGTGATAAGTTTTTTTTCAGTAGCCGTAAGCTGTGTGGACAATAATATATGAAATTATTGTTATCTATTTGCTTTTTATAATCTTGAATAAAAACCGGGGTCGTTGTTGAAATTTATCATAATTTTATATACAGCCTTTTTCTGACTTGACATACGAACAGATAATAAAATTAAATTTAGAAATTGTAGAAAGCTGTTATGGCGGCAAATTGACAATAATGTTTTAAACGTCAACTTCAGTTGTTGTTTCACATTTAGTTAATTTTTTTTTATTAGTTTGAACTAGTTTGCCTTTTTCATAATATGATATGACCCTGGTGAAAATTATATCTTCAGTGACTTGTTATTTAAAAAACGTAGCCGTCTTCTTGAAAAAGTGTTTTTGACTTCGGTTTAAGATATTTTTTCACTAGATATCCTTATATTACAAATGCTTAAAATACTTACGTTTTTGAATACTGACATATTGCTAAATGAAAATTAGTATAAAACTAGTTTTCATAGTATTATATTACAATATAGTCTAAATAAATTCAAAACGAGTTCCCCGTTTGTCACAGAAGCCTGTAAATTCATAAGTTTCTGTCCAAACAACATTTCGGATGTGTTATGTAAAAGAATATATAGTTAAGTTTTTATTATTATAATTATCATATTATAATATGACAATAAAACGAAATTGTTACAGCCATGTTGTGTTTTATTTCTTATTCATGACGTAATCTTTGAATGTAAAAAAAATAAAGAAAAATCCACAGACTATAAACATGTTACAGTATTTATTGAATACAGATTATATTAAAATTATATTATAAGAATGGTAGATCATTCTCGTTTGCAAATTGTTTGAATTGCAAACTAAACAACTTAAATTCGTTTGTTTTTTTTGTTATGTCATAAATTTTGACAATAATTATTAATTATCTGTATATCATTTTAACACATTGATTAGGCTTAAAGATGGAATTATAACTTCACATTACATTATCCCTGTATCTTTTTATTACCTACTGTTTCTATCTAAGACTTCATTCGCACTGGAATCGTGGAATATTTAGCCAAATGTCAATTTTATTTGTTGTTTTAATTATAATCGTGAGTACTGTGTCGATAAAACACGAACTGTCTTTTACACAACAACAATTATAATCATTACATTAAAAGTATCAGTTACCTTCACAACTAATTTGTCAACAAATAAACTACCTACATAATGACATAGGTATAATAAGTTCATTAAAAATAAAACAATATATTATTTGAGTTTAATATAATCCTGTTTAAAAAAAAATGTGCCATGTAGCAAACATAAGCATCTTTGTTAGTTACATCAAAATTACCGTAATTTGAAGTATTTTAATCATAAACAACATTAAGATAAAACAAAATTTGAATTAAATAAATTTATTATTATAGGTACTTTTAATATTTCCAATAAGAAAGAATTGAAAATTCCTAAAAATTAATACCAAATCTTACAGTGTAAAGTATCTAAGTACATCTTAAAAAAAGTGAGTACATGAAATCAATATTGCTTCATTATCATAGAAACTAACACTATAAAAAATATAAAAATTGTACAAGACCAGGATTATGCAAAAAACTAACAATAAAAATGTGCAAACAGAAAACTGCTTTCTTGCCTACCTATACCACTCCTAAAACTACGTTATGAGGTAAGTAATACATTAAGTTCTTAAGCATCATGACTTCTCCTGAAATAATGCAATAGAAAAGTCCGTGCATACCCACAGGTAATTACGACACATGATTAGCATACAGCCAGGCAAACCTATACCTCCACAGAAAATAAAACTTAACAAAAAAACGACGGTAGACTGTGAAAACATGAAGTAAACGGAAAATTAATTTGAATTTGGGACATAATAGAAAAAGAAATAAGCTTCAATGAAATTATAACCTATATTTATACAAAAAATTATATTTTATATACCTACAATGTTTAAAACTTCATTACGCGTAAAAATGGACGCAAGTTGATTATTTGGTAGGGTGATTCTATATGCATTTCTTTCATGGAAGTTAAACATGATTTCTGAACTCAAATAAACTTTTAAATACTAGAGATGTTAATATACAAAAATATGATATCCAGTTTGTAATTTAAATTAAATTTAAAAAATACATCATAAATTTCAGAGAAAATTGTCGACAAAGAATTGTTGATCGAATGATGAATGGTTGAATGATGAATGATTGAAACTTTTAATAGCTAATCCCATACAATTAAAGCTCACAGTAATAACTTCTACAATACAATGCTTGGAATTGAATATTTTTGAAATTAATTAATCATAACCCCATTGACATATACACATAAAACCTCATTTGGTGAATATAATTATAAAAACATATATACAGAATATACAAAGCAATTATTTAAGACAATTATACATCTATATATATTTATTTAATACATTAACGACCTTGACATATCACGATATTAAAAAAGATATGAACCGCAAATATTATAAGAAAAGATTATTATTAATAAAACAATGTTTTGATACAAACAACTTACTTTATAAAAAGGGGTCAATAGCAAATATTTTAACCATTTAAAAACAATATATGATTTCCTTAACACTTTTTTGTTCATAATCCGATTATGGCAACTCTTTTGACATTCGCTATCGACGGATTCAATAATACGGTAAGATTAAATAAAGGGTTCGATATGAAAAAAAAATATCACCCCAATAAGCACGTGGACAAACATTCATGTCTTTTAATATACTTACTTACCCACACTACGTTCATACTTCATAGTAATAAGTTTAGTGTTTTCATGAATAATTTAGAAACGATTATGAATGACCAAATTAGTAACGTAACTTAGACAAAAAAAAGTTATATTTTGTAAAATTGTGTATTAAATATTGGGTATGTCATTATTTAGTGGGAGTATATAGTTTTCATTTATTTAAAATTATATTCTTGTCATATGAAAAATAAATATTTCCGAGCATCTCTTTTGTTTGTTGCTTTATAACTGAAGATTTATAATCTGATTCCGATTTATAAAAGAACAAATTTTTTACTTTGCCAGTTAAAAAATATGTCAACTTTAGGCCACTTCATGTCGTATACTTAACAGTCTAAGTGCCTATTTGTTTTGAATAGCAATGTTGACATTTTAAATTAATTCGATAACTTCGTTTATTTCCTCAAACTGTGCAAGTTCAAAATTAATTATAGTCAAATATTACTCTGTTATATGAAATAATAAAGGTTACTCTACACAAAAGCAAAAAAAAATCTATAATAAATATAAAATTTTATATACATATTTTAAAAAATCCCTTTTAAATTTAAAAATTATTTTTGTATCATAAAAGGAAAATAGATATTACTATAAATAGTACTTTGAAATGTTTTACATTAATTACATTTTTTGAGACATTTAGACATACTGTCAACATACATACATACTTAAAATGTGTATTTAATTTATTGTCAATTTAAAATTAATGTTTAATTGAAGAAGATACGAAAAATTAAAAAGTACTAATTAAAGTTTATTTTTTGTACAACTATCTAAAATGTTATTATTTTATGAAATAATTTACTTACTTTTAAATATTTTTTTTTTATTTAAACGCACATTAAAAATACCATTTGTATTTTTGTAATGGGCAACGTCATTACCTGAATAACTGTCATGTAGTTCTCCTGTCCGCCATTTCGGCGTCACAATCGCTTCATAGAATTGATTGGAACGCCCTCGTTGAGAAAATTTTGAAGCTCCATTGGCAAAATTCAGGTACAATTTAATTGAATAATCTTGAATAATATCAATGGGGTCATTGCGGATACATTGCCTGTGAGAAAGCTATGTTATTGTGAACCAAAAGTTCCTAATAAACTTAGGCAGACAAAAGAAATTTGGTAATATAATCAATTTTGCACTGACGACAGCGCCGTCTGTGATCTTAACTATTAGTTTCATTTTTCGAGTGGCGGTAATATATTATCATTTATGGTGTTTGTGGTAATATTTCAGAAAAGGTGGTGATTATAAAAAGTGTTTTGCCTTAACTTGGAAAAATTGTGATTTTGGTACATAAGATGGCGGACAGTGCTGTGTAAATTTCGTGGCGAGGCTGTTATGTTGTAGTGGCCGGTGATTTTTATTTATTTAAATTCCGTTGAAAACTGCTTACATCGCTGAGTATTAAACTAAAATTATTTTCAATATTTCTTTTTACATTTGAAATTTAAACAAATTATGATAATTTACATAAAATTCATATGTTAAAATATTATTCAGTCGGTCAGTAGAGCTTTGAAACGTCACAATACTGTAACTATTGTGATAATAAACAATTTTATTTTTTATAATATTCATATATAAACACATTGAAATTTACTTTGTTATTCTTTCGTTATAAAAGTTGTAATATCAGGGGATCATAAAATGATAATTCTTGATGAAGTTCATATTAACTATAAATGAAAAAAACACTTTAACGAAGTCAAAACAATCAGTTATATATCATTATATAGTAAGGTCGGATCGTAACACAGTCTAGTAAGAATTCCAACATAAACTATATTTATTTTATATTTACAAAGCCATGCCGCCCCCGGATAAGAAAACTTTGAAGGAGGAGACCATTTTACAAACCTATTTGAACTCTTTTGAACAAGAAAATGAAGCAACAGCCACCATTGCTGGTAAGATATTTTAATATTTTATACATCATTAGTCATAATAATATTGAACACAATAGTAATAAATTGGTATAATAATTATAACACTAGTTTACAAAATTTAACTTTTTGGTTGTTGCCGCAAATTTTATGGTTGATATTGTTAACTGATGATTTGTTTACGTCAAATCTACCATCAAAATTTCTTTAGCAGCTATAGTTATTGTGTTTCTGGTTTTTGTCATTTGAGCTTATAAATTAATTGATAACAGTCGTATTTTAGGGTTTTAAGACTAATATCTAAAGTTTTTCGTCCTGAGCACTTCAAAGAGATGTTGTTTAATCCAGATATTTTTTTTTATATTTGCTTAGAATATGTATTTAAATACTGTAGAAAAGTTATATCACGGTTGGTAAAAATACCTATCTTGGGTATTTTGGGATGCTTTTGGAAAAAATGAGAATACCTATTGTGTTTATAAATCATGTGTGGAATATTTAAGATTATTGAAAAGTGGTAAAAGAACTACCTTTAAATTTGGAACATCGACTATTTGGTGAGGACCACAAAATCATCTCGAAGACTGCTAGTTTTGTAGATGGAACATAAACGGTTTAAACACTAAAAATCGGGCTAAATGGCTGTACCCCAGTACTAGTTGTGTTCGACGTCCATTGCAGAAGCGTTTACCTATCTCTTCAGTGCATCAGAATCCATAGAACAAGACATGAAAATACCAAGAACATCATAAAATGATGCTTCTTCCTTCTCTTACAATTAAAAAGTAAGGGATGCAATATGAGTATAAAACTCCACTTCCTACATAGTCACTTGGACCAGATTCCGGAAAATTTAGGGAATAGGGTTAGGGTTACTGGGATAAGAATATGATATCTGATTATTTCTGGTCTCTGATACGTCATTTTCCAAAGACTACTCATCAGAGATCTTCTAGAGATTTCTAGAGTTTCTCTATTTCAGAGTTTTCTAGAACTTAACAATTAAATATATGTTTCTTTTAGTAGTTTTTCTTAGTAAATATGTGTTTTTTCTGTTTTATTCCTGTATAGTTTAAACTCAAAAACTAGAGCTGATAAAAATATTCTAATTACATTTTTAAAATGGCATGGCATACCTACCTTATGAACAACAATTAAAATTTCTTTGGCAACAGATTTACTGTAAACTAGTGTTATTTTACACCATACACAACCATAGTCAATTGCTTGTCATTCACAAATTACCACTTTTGTACATCTATCAAAAATTTACTGTACACAATTGTAATAAATTACTAGTTTTACACAAACAAATTGTTATTTTTATACATTACTTGAAACAATTGAAACTTTATAGTTGCTGGTGATGTCGAGGAAGAATCTGATACTGGGGTGACGTATTTTGTTGATGAAGAAGGCAGATATTACTATCAGCCGGCCGGTGACAATCAGAGCATAGTATCTCTATCTACGGAGGTGACACAGGATAATGACGTAGAGGTTGATTTAATACACATTACATATATAGTTTTATTTAGTATTTATTCTACAATCATTTATAATAATAATAATATATCGACCAGTCTGATAATATTTACAAAATTGTTAGTACAGTGCACTCCTTAACCTATTGTTAGTAAAAAACTAAATAACTTAAAATTATATTGCATGTTTTATAGTACCTTTCTGACATGCTTTGTTTGTGCATGGACAATACTGCAATTTATAATCGAACCTATTCTGTTTAAAGATTACCGAGGACACTCAAATGCTTGTTGATGCTGATAGTTACCAAACTGTTACCCTGGTGCCATCAGAAACTGGAAACGGTGAAGTCAGCTATGTATTAGTAATGCAAGAGGAAAATAAGCCTGTTGTCAACTTAAATATAAAGGTGGATCAGGTAATCTTTTATGATGATTGAAGAAAGGAGTTCCCATTCAACAATTTATATATCATTTGCTACGTTTTGGACGGCAGTAAGGATTTTTTTTTATATAGTGTTTATTTTTTTTTGGTACATACTGCTTTGTTTCTGTATTTTTTTTATTTTTGATGCTAATAGAAACTCCTTGCTTGAATCGTAAGAATAATCCTCTCCCAATCACATGAGATACTTTTTTATTTATTTATTAGATTTGACTCCGATGAGTTTGGATGTAAATATTAATGTATACATTTCTTTGTCTTTTTGTTGCTTCTTATTGGCAACCCTGAAATATAATTCTATGTTGTTGAGTTAAATAAACATATTTTCTTAATATACAATATACTTAAGTGAACAATTTTCTCACTAATATCAACATGTACACAGAAAACTAAAAACTGTAGCTAAAATGTATTTGTTACGGAGTTGTTAAAATTATTTAGGAAGAGAAAGGTGCCGATGTCTACAATTTTGAGGATGAGGAAGAAGCGGCTGAGGAAGTTTCCGAGGATGGAGAAGATGCACCAAAGGTTATATGATATCTTTTTTGTATCTTATATGATATCTTTATCTTTTATGTAGAAAAATTCTCAAATTCTTTATACTTGCAGACTAAAACCACAAAGAGGAATAAATATGTCAGTCCTTACTTCACTTGCAGCTTCTGTTCGTACACGAGTCATAGACGGTAATATATAAATATTGTTATATATTATATAATGTTTTTCTTAATATTAATGTTATGTACCATTATCAGATACTTGCTGCTACGTCATATGAAATCCCATTCGGAGGAAAGGCCACACAAATGCAGTGTGTGCGAACGAGGCTTTAAAACGATAGCCTCACTACAGAACCACGTGAATATGCACAACGGTGTTAAACCTCACGTCTGTAAATATTGCAAGAGTCCATTCACTACTTCAGGTGAGAATAATTTACTAATTATACTTAATACTAGCTTTTCAACATCATCATCAGCCTATCAGAGCCCACTGCCGACCAAATTCCTCTTCTAACATGGAGAAGGTTAGAGCATTAATCATCACATTTGCTCAAGACGGGTGGGTGATTTCAAACTTATAATTGGGAATTTTAAATCGATGTTTTCTTACGGTGTCTAAATGCTCTTAGAAAGTACATATGATTCGGTACATCACATCGGTACTTGCCAGGTTTCGAACCCGCGCCCGTTGCATGAGAGGCGAGTCTTTAACCACTATTCCGCCACGACTTAGCTTTTTAATGTCATATGATTTATTAATATGTTATTATCATGTAGGTGAGCTCGTTAGACACGTGAGATATCGTCATACACACGAAAAACCTCACAAATGCTCTGAATGCGACTACGCATCCGTGGAACTATCAAAATTGAGGCGTCACGTACGATGTCATACTGGAGAGAGGCCGTATCAGGTTGGTTTATATATAAATTATATATATAAGACTTATTTAAGTCGAGCTTAAATGAAACTAGTATCTTTTTACAAGCTTAGAAGGTGTATATTATCTTTAAAAACTAGATAATCACGACGTTTTTGTTACTTTTCACCATTTATAGTAAAGTATGCGTAGTTATTATAATGTTAGTTTCATTTAAATGAATACTCGCGAAAGTCTTATATTTAATTATATATTAATATTTAATAATTTGTTCACAGTGCCCACACTGTACCTACGCTTCACCGGATACGTTCAAATTGAAGAGACATTTGCGTACACACACCGGAGAAAAGCCATACAAATGTGACCACTGCAACATGTGTTTCACGCAATCAAACTCTCTTAAAGCTCACAAGCTCATACATAATGGTAGGACGTTAATTTTAATATATAAAACATATGATATAAGCGGATCATATTATATTGGTTCTTTAAACAGTGGCTGAGAAACCAGTGTTTGCCTGTGAGCTCTGTCCGGCCAGATGCGGGAGGAAAACAGATCTACGCATACACGTTCAAAAACTACACACGTCTGATAAACCGCTTAAATGCAAGCGTTGCGGTAAATCGTTCCCAGATAGATATTCATGCAAGATACATAACAAGGCTAGTATGAGAAATTTTATTATGATATACAAATTTTTACGTATATATGAGCGTTTTGTTGAATATAATAATTTTACAGACACACGAAGGCGAGAAATGTTTCAAATGTGAACTCTGCCCCTACGCCTCGACGACGCTACGTCATCTGAAAACACACATGTTGAAACACACGGACGAGAAACCGTTCGCGTGTGAACAATGTGATCACTCGTTTAGGTATATTATTCAATTATAACTAAATCATACATTTAATTCGTCAAATTCCTAATCTAATTTTCTTTAAGTGTTTGGTTATCAAAATAAGAACTACATGTATAAATCTCCCATTTCAAGTGTTGCCAGTTTAATAAAATTACCCATTATACAGGCAGAAGCAACTGCTGCGTCGCCACCAGAACTTGTACCACAATCCCCACTACGAGCCTAAGCCTCCAAAGGAGAAAACTCACACTTGCCACGAGTGCAAGCGAACATTCGCCCACAAGGGTAACCTGATCCGCCATCTGGCAATCCACGATCCAGAATCTGGGCATCACGAACGAGCATTGGCTCTGAAAATAGGCAGGCAGAGGAAAATAAAGGCAAACACAGGAGGACCCTCTAAGGTTGGATGATAATACATACAATACATTATTTTACTATATTGTCATATTTATGAGTAATAATGAAATAAAACAATGAACTCGTGGCACACAATTTACTGCTTCATTGTAGACTGACAACTGACACAAACATTATTTATCTACCTACTATCTGAATTTGTTACAAAAACTATACATATGGACTGCAATTTTAATCAGAACCATGAATTAAAGCATTCATTTCAAATTAACTCAATTTTACTCTAAAAATCTAAATATCATATGAATAAGGTCATTCATCTGCAGCACCTTTAATGAAGATTGCGAGTATCTTCATAGAAGAATATTTGAAAGCAGTATTATTTGCTCTAATATATACTTGGTATAAAAGAAAAATATATCTGTAAATCCAAATGACTTGTATTGGCTAGCGATTTCTTGATACAGCAGCGAATTTTATCAATATTGCTTCAATTTAAAAAAGATCGAATGTACTACATACAATATACATGTATATATATTTTAGAAAGAATATTGATATTTGATAATATGAAAAACTTTATATACATAGAGCTTAAATATGCGAAATTTATTCAATAAAGCTTGTCTTGAGTTTTTTATTCAACTGAATATTTTTCAAAATCTAAGTTCTAAACTGGAGACAATAATTAAAATTCATCTATGCTTAGAAGTTTTTGACCTAAAATATTGATAGTCCTGCTCTGCGATTTTGTCTTTTTTTATGTACTCTGCCTTTGCCATTCTCTACTATTCATATTTATTATAATTTTTTTTCTTATTTCATGTTAAAACGAATTATAAAAGTTATTTTATTACAAGTACTATTCATATTGAAAATGCTTTGGCTCGCAGCTTGGATATATATGAAAATGATGAGCTGAAAAAAATATAACACATTACATTTTAGCATTGTCAGTTAGATGGAAAATTATGTACATTGTGTACAAAAAAAACCTGATTAAACAAATGAATTTTATTGAATAAATTTATATATATATACATTTTATACAAAGATTTTGCGACATTTGTATGTATGTTATTCTTTAAAAACCTCTTCTACCTGAATAGTTGATGAATAAATGAAATAATTTTGTATTATCAATAACAATTTGATACATTTTATCTGTATCTTTTAATGTGGTTCAAGTAATTTCTGAGCTAATGAAATCATATTTTATTATCTTTGCATACATTTTGGTATTGACCATACAGCTAAAAACAAAGAAAGTACCATCAAAATCGGTTCATTAGTCTCAAGTATTAGAGCAAATACCTACATACAATCCCACTTATATCACCCACTTGCTATTATATACTGCTTTGCGAAATGTTAATCACCTTACAAATTCAAACATTATTAATATGGCAGAGCGAAAAATAACATATGTACTTTACTAATAAAATGAAATAAATATCATTATCATATAATAAAGATGGACACTTGTTAATGAAATAGGAATCATTATCATATCATAAATATATCTTATTACAGGCTGTCGATTCCGACGATGATATGATGAAGTTGGGTCTCAATAAGGAGATCAAACGTGGTGAACTGGTCACAGTGGCCGATGGAAACGGACAACAGTATGTTGTTTTGGAGGTGATACAGCTTGAAGATGGCACCGAACAGCAAGTGGCTGTTGTAGCACCGGAGTTCATGGAGGAAGAACAAGGTTGGTATATAATACTATAATAAGAGCTATTATTCTTTAATACATATTTTTTGTCTATCTTGAACCGTTTTCACGGCGCACGCAACGGAAGGCTTCAAAGATGAAATAATTTCTCCCGTTTTTTACACATTTACCACTATATCTTTGCTCCTATTGGTCGTAGCGTGATGTTATATAGCCCACAGCCTTCCTCGATAACTGGACTATCCAACACAAAAAGAATTATTCAATTCGAACCAGTAGTTTCGGAGATTAGCGCGTTCAAACAAACAAACAAACTCTTCAGCTTTATAATATTAGTATAGATATAGGTTGGTATATAATACTATATAGATTGCTATATAATAGTAGTGGCCTAATGGTTAGAGGGCCCGCCTCTCGTTGCCGAGGGCGCGGGTTCGATCCTGGCCCGGGCAAAGTACCAATGTGATTTTTCCGAGTCATATGTATTTTCTAAGAATATTTAGACATCACTGATTAATGTTGATTCCCAAAAGAGGGTTGATGTCAGGCAGGCGGCCGGTCGTAAAAAACAATTAGCCAAAACTATTCACAACATGTAAGGTAGACCAGTGGAAATTGGTTCGTTCGTTCGTTCTGAAGTTATAGCGTCAGGATGGAAAACTGGACTTATTTTTATATAGTAGATCTCTTACAAATATCTAATTGTCATCATTACGTCATTACATATCTGTCATTATACGTCAATTGTATAGCTGTCAATTATGTTTCGTTATTCCACGTTTTATAGTGACTGACGTTTCATGTCAAGTCCCACGGGAATGCTGTCGAACGGGATAAAAAGTATCCTATTGCAATTTCCTGGCTCTAAACTACCTCCCTGCCAATTTTCAGCTAAATCGGTTCAGCCGTTCTTGAGTTATTAGTGGAGTAACTAACACGACTTTCTTTTATATATATAGATATATAGAGATATAAATATTTTGTATGTATTATATATGCATCAAAATCATATTGTATCTGTCTTGAATAATGCTCAAGAAATTAATTGTCAATCATATAAGTGATGTATAATCCTTTGTCATGTAATAACAGTATGAACATTTTAATCTATCAGATTGATACTTGCATGCTTATGAATTGCATAAATGGCTTGAACAGTTTGTGCAAGTTTTATTTAATGTTATATAAGAAATACATATTGTTTACAATTTTCTGTTGAAATAATAGGTTGGGGAAAAAGAAATCCATTATTTTTACGTGAACTTCAAGACTTTATTTAACATGTTTTGCATTGTCCGATTTAGGTCAAATATGCACCATTTTGTTCTATAATTTGTTGCCATTTTAATGGTAGCTTCATTATGCCTCTCTCATAAAAGTCTTGGTCCTTATTAGCGAAAAACTCCAGCAATTGATTTTCACACTCTTCCCTTGATGCCAATTTCTTATCACTAAAAAAGTTTTGCAATGCAAGAAAAAGATGGTAATCGCTTGGTGCGAGGTCCGGACTGTATGGTGGATGCATCAAAACTTCCCAACCAAGCTCGTTTCTGGTCAATTGCTCGCTTCAGACGGTCCAGTTGTTGACAATAGATGTCTGAATTTAATGTTTGGCCATATGGAAGCAACTCGTAATAAATGATTCCTTTCCAATCCCACCAAACGCAAAGCAGAACCTTCCTGGCCGTTAGTCCCGGTTTGGCCACCGTCTGAGCTGCTTCACCGCGCTTTGACCACGATCGCTTTCGCATAATGTTGTCGTGTGTGACCCGTTTCTCATCCCCAGTCACCATCCGTTTAAGAAATGGGTCGATTTCATTACGTTTGGCCAAGGCTTCGCAGATGGAAATTCGATCCATCATGTTTTTTGGTGTTAATTGGTGTGGCACCCAAACATCAAGCTTTTTTTAAAACCCAGCTTTGTGCAAATGGTTTAAAACTGTTTTGTGGTCGATCTTTAACTCCTGGGCGATGCTACGACTACAAACATGCCGGTCCACTTCGATGATTTCAATGACTTTGTCGACATTTTCGACGACGGGCCTGCCTGTGCGAGGGGCATCCTTAACGTCAAAAATACCCGAACGGAATCGACGAAACCAAAATTGCGCGTAATTAGCTGTTACAGTATCGGGACCATAAACACTATTCACATTTTCAGCCGCCTGACTTGCATTTTCGCCCTTATCAAAGAAAAACTGTAAAATGTACCGAATTTTCTCTTTGTTGACTTCCATCTTTAACGCCGTGTAACTCAGAACTGAATGGACAAAACAAAAAACTGCAAACGAATTCTTTTAGTTCGAACTGGTACCTTAACAACGAGCATAAATTTGAAATTGTTTGATCGATAATTTACGAGATATCGATCACTACAGCCATCTACCGAAAAAATAATGGATTTCTTTTTCCCCAACCTATTATGAGTGGTAATGTGAGATTTATGTCTATTTATCATATTATATAATCCAGTACATATTTGGTTTGTGATTTTCATTATAAATCTAATTGGTTATAGATAGCAATCAACATGTATATGTATATAACACCCAATATATGTATATCTTCTAACTAGTACAATTTGCCTATTTATAATTATCCCCTTGGTTAATAAATTTTTAACTTAGTAGTTATTCATGTGATTGATATATCTCATGTGAGTGTTTGTATGTATGTATGTGTGTGTGTGTGTGTGTGTGAATCTATCAAAATTATGGATTGGACTTGTAAGGGATTTGTATTGCACTACAAATATATCTTTCCTACATTTTAAGTTATCATTATGATATTCTAAAACTATTTTTTTTATGTATATTTTTTAATTTTAATTGTATTTCTTACAGAAGAGGAAGAGGAAGAAGAGGAACCGCCAATTGAAACTCCGAAACCGAAAATATTAAACAGAACCATCAAACTAGAGAAGGAAGTTGACACTTGTTTTGGATTTGATGTTAGTATTGTATACAATAACTAGAAGACCCGGCGAACTTCGTATCGCCCTATAATCAAGAAATATCTGTTACGTTTTTTTATTTACATTATTGGAGTTTACCTATTAAAGCCATAAATCTCCGTGTATTGAAGTGCGACAGAATGATTGACATATTAGTTAGTTGTCAAATCTAATGTCAAAAAAAACGTTTGTATCAACAACTACTAATAAATTAAAAATTAATTACAAAAACATTTTCCAGCGGCCAAAATTGTGAATCTAAACAATTCCCAGATCCCCTTGAACACACACAAAAAAACCATCAAAATCGATCCAGTCGTTTCAGAGAAGTTCAGTGATATACACACTCACAGAAGAATTATATATATAAAGATATGACTGTATATGAATCAATAAGCTGTGGTATATAAATATATATGAACGATTGTCAATAAGTTCTTAGGTTCTAATAGTTTTTACCAGTGATTACTTTGGAACTGGGCTTAAAGAGAAATATATAGTGTGTGTTATCCTAATATAATTAAAAAAAACCACTAGCGCTATCTATAGTCTGTGTAAATGAACTTCAACATCACAATTATGAAGCAATCCCATACATTATAGCCTATGTATTACTCTTATATCCAACCTACATCACTGTAAAGGTACAATAGAATTTTCTTAGTATTTTTTGCTTCAAAGAGCTATAAACATCCGTACATCCATACAAAGTTTTGCATATGTAATATTAGAAGAATTATTTACCAAAATATTATTCAATTTTACAGGAAGATGAGGAGGAGGAGGAAACAGAAGAAGATATAACATACAGCGACAAAGTAGTGTTGCGTTTAGTATAATTACATTAATTACTATACATTATGTATATTATTAAACACATACACCATGTGTTACCATAACTTGAGCACCACAGATAAAATAATTCAAACATTTCCTTTCTGTATTTGAAAATATATTTTCTATTATCAAAATGTAATATACTCTGTCCATGCATGTCTTTTGGTAGTCCAATTATTACTCTATTTAACTTACTTGATGTGGAAATTGAATCATATCTTTGGGGATGGTGGAAATCCCTGGAACTAACTAGCATTGGATAATTCCAATTAGAAGCAGATTATCAAACGAAAGTTTAAGCTGAAATGTTTTCTTTAATAATGACGTTAAGGGATTTTTTTTTTTCACAATTAGTAATAAATTAAAAACTAAATGATTACTAATTTTGAGAATATTACCTTAAAAGTCGTTGATATAGAAAATATTTCAGCTTAAACTTTCTTCTACGGTCTACTTCCAATGCTAGTTACTCGGATTTGCACTGTCCCCGAAGATATTATATAATTATTAATTAGTGGTGCTTTGTATGGTTATTGTAATTTGATGAATCTGTTCATAGATATCATGATTGTTCGCATACTAAGGCATTCTCTAGTTAGTTTTTAAATGATTTTAGTGAGATTTCATCATCGCAATAGATAGCCACTGCCGTAAAACACCAGTTAAATCTAGTAGATTTAGATTCATGTGCTATAAATAGCATGTTATGAATGAATGAAGCGTATAGCTAGTACTTATAGTAAACATACAATGATGACCTACATATATTATTATGTATAATCTTTATGTATTTTTATGTATTAGACTTTTATTTATATTTATCATATGAGTACTTAATTAAAGCGCTCTCGATAAAAAATGTAACTCTTTTTAATAAATTGATTTTAGAATTTTAACACACTAAATTCTCGGCTTTTTCTGTGTTTAAAAGTTTTAATGGTAATATATAGAATTATGTCTTAAATTTCGTTTCTTGGTACATTTTTAATGTTTCTCTATCATGTTTTTTTTTTAAATATTTATAGTTTCGTAATAATTAGTCACATTTTAGGTAAATGTGCTTAATCAGTTTGCTTGTGAAATGAATCGGGTTTAGTAAATTTTTAAGCAAGAAAATGTATATTTGTTGTATGTAGTTGTAATGGTATTATTTACATGTAAATAATGAAACATTGGTATTCAAACGATTTTTTTTTAGATATACCTAATGATAATGTTTGAAAGTCTAAGATCAGCTGGTGACTTGTGTATTTAATTTTGTTTTCAAAAGACCGTCTCTCATAATTGTATGATTGTTTAATAATATTATTAGGTACCTTTATCTTTATTATAATTGTTTATCTCATACAAATTATTAATTTTTCCTATATAGCAGTCACAGCTGGTCTCAAGCACAGTTTTTTAGCGGTACACAACCATTTCTAGCGTTAACCGGAGTTAAGTTATTAAATGTGTTGTTGTCACTTGTTCTCTGTAACAGTATCTATATTTATCTGCACTATGTGTTTATGATGAACATACAAATAAAGTGGTTAGATTGTTCTATATTTATTTCAAATAAAATCCTATAAAATAAATAAATCTCATCAACATAGGCATATATCAATTCTAATGTTTTTAAATCTTTATATAACTTATTTGTTGGTTTTAGTGAATATTATTTTACACTATATTCCTGCTCCATTCGAGTGACTTAAAGTTATCATTATTAGTTATCAAATATTTACAAGTTACTTATAAAGGTCAACTTGTTCATGGCTAAATAAATTTTATTATATGATTCATGCATATAGTCATTAAAAAGTTTAACATTTCTTTCATTTTAAACAAAATACTCTATTTTGTATGCAGTATAGATAATTTCAGAGTTCATATACACCAAAAACATTAGTCGTTTACAAGGAATCCTTATTAAATGGATATTTTTTTCTACTATGGAGACTGGTAGATAGATACTTGTGTAATGTAACAAAGGTATCTATTAAACATTGATTTAATATCGGGTGTACTGATTCAGGAAATAATAAGAAATATATAATGTTGTCCAGACTTTAAAAATTATAACTCCGAATTTGATGAAAAGTATGTCAAGAGATTTGTTCTTGATTTAATCGAAATTTGCCTAGCTTAGATAGAAAGGTTTTATTCTATTTTGCGCAATTCTGGTACAATTTGGTTGAACAGCTTTTATACTAAAGTAGATTCTTTTAAAATAATATTTTTTTTTGCTCAAATCTTTTCTTATTTGGAGTCTTATCTTTTATTTATTATTGTTTATTAGAGACGCAAACAAAAACCGCTATAAAAACCCATCGATAGTGTGGTAAATAATAGTTATACGATTGAAATAATAATAATAATAAATCTTTATTCACAAAAAAAGTTACAAAGTATAATGAAGTCCCTGATTTCTGAGCTAGACTCAAAGACCTGTATTACAGAAATCAGTGTCCTCCGTCATATTTTAGTGTCATGTCGTTCTATGTAAATAAAAATAAATGATAAATAATTATTTTTTACTGTATACTAGAGCAGAGTGTATGTGTGTATTTTGTTTCACAAAATATTATAGCAACAACAGTTCAGTTTGCTCACAATCTATTCCTAGTAGCCAATTTTTAATAATTACTTTAGCTTCACGATTACATAAGGTACACCTAAGTCTGTTTTTACACGGTTTTGATATAACACGGTTTGAAAATTGAATATTTTTAATTTCTTTACACAATTTTATTCCATTTAGCACGATTTGAAATTTTATGTACTGAAATGTTTTTTGTCAAATTTAATTTTTGCGAAGTAGGTATGTTCATATCACAAAAAATTTTTTATGAAAGAAAAAAGTCTGAAACCATCGATAGTATCGATAGTTTGCGAACACTAGCTTAAAGATTTAAGTGAATTCCCCTTTAGCGCGTACAAACAATTTTTACTGGTCAAAGCAAATGTTAATAGCACTAATTTAGGGGAATTCCCTTTTTGTGCATATGTATATTACTTTTAAGATTAGAGTGCATATCTTTTTTATCATTTAAATTACTATGCTTGTGAAAATAAGCATTATATATTTGATTTGATAAAATAAATATGCATTCTTGTTCTTAAAAAGTCTTGTTTTTCACTAATTTTAATAGGTTTTAGAGATTAGGAACAAATCACCCATTTTTGTATAAGATCAATATCTTTTTTTACACGGTTTTTTTTACACGGCTTCTTCTGGAACCAATCTACCGTGTAAAAACAGACTTAGGTGTATGTATATTTTTTATTTTATTTATTTTCTTATACAAATAAACTGCTTTAAAATCATGTTGTCGTTTGGCTGAAGCTGTTCGACATATAACAGGTGGACATACGTTTTTAATGACACGTTATTTACTATATTCGTCGGCCTAATAGGGTGTCATTCTATGTTGTTGGATAACCAATTTATAAAGGTCTAGTTGCCTAACCGTAAGGAGTTGACATTTTTCATACAACTTAGTTGTAGAAAAGCTGTATGGGCTAGATGTCATGACTTTTAAGATACATCGATGCGCTCTTTCCAAGTCTAATATAAAGGTTTTACAAGCACCATCCCAAGCTTTTATACAATATCCAATGACTGACTGAACTAGTGCATAAATATTGTGCGCAGTAGATCGAAATGAGCAACGTGTCTAAACTTCTTGAAAACCCAAATAAGTTTTTTGGTGCGCATAGTTGTGATGTCTATATGAGGGCGCCAGCTACGTTTTTCGTCCAAAATAACTCCTAGATAATTGACGGTCGTACATTTAGTTGAAATGATAAATATTTCTAACTAAATAAAACCACAGAATTGTAATATTATATATTTATTCAAATACTACGTCTACACCGCTATAAACAAGATTAAAGATATCAGGTAAACACTAAAATAAGGCTGATGTTACAGTAATTGGTACGATATTATGTAAATAATTGTTTTTAATAAAATTCGTTATGAAATCACTATTATTAAATTTACCCTGAAACTAACGAACTCATTATTAACTCGTGTTTTTGAACTTTAAAACTAAACGTCATTACAATTAGTGATGTGCCAGACAAATAAAAATTCGCGGGAACAAATCGTATTTTTTTTTACTAAAATAGTATCGGTAAGTAATCTTTAAAAAAAATGATAACGTAGATTTTTTAAGTAGCAGAAAATGATAGTGCATTGAAGGGGTATATATATTACATATGTAAAATATATAATTAAGTCAGTGGTGGCCTAGTGGTTAAATTAAAAGGCCCGCCTCTCATGCATGAAGGCGCGGGTTCGTTCCTGGCAAGTACCAATGTGATTTTTCCGAGTCATATGAACATCTAAGAGTATTTAGACATCACTAATTAATGCATTCCCAAAGAGGGTTGATGTCAGGCAGGCGGCCGGTCGTAAAAACAGTCAAAACTATTCACAACATGTAAGGCAGACCCCAGCTAAAAGCTCGGATATTGCTAGGACGAAGAAAATATACAATAAATATTGGTTGTTTGTAAAGTAGGTTTACGATCGAGATGTTTACGTGATAACGTCTTATTGGTGATATAAGTTTTTGGGAAGTAAGGAATTAATGAAGATATCAATTTTTTCAAATTTTAAATTACATCTATAGTTTTATTCACACTTTTGATGATAAATTTCGGGTGTAAAATGACAAGTTAAACATTCTGTTAAACATTCAACGAAAACTTAACAGCACGAGAAAATCTCCATTCGTTTGTATGCCGCTAGAGTGAGAGAGACGGAAGATCGGTCCACTCACTCGAACGCTATGCCTGCTTCCGCTCGTGAGGATTCCGCGTGACAAGTTTCACGGAATGACTGGCAGCGCTCGAGATGAGACGGGAGATCGGTCCGTCTCTCTCTCGTTATACCTGCGATCGCGCTCGTGAGGTTTTGGTGTGACACAAGTTTCTGAACATGTCACCCGACTAAAACGATTTTAAAGACGTTATCACGTCAAAATGTTTCTAAATCCCTCAGATACCAATATTGGGCACATCACTAATTACAACGTATAACAATAAATCTTACTTAATTTCAGTTTGTATAATTTAAACTGTCTATTATAATTTAGGCTCACTAGTTCATTATTGCTATTAGGCCATTTTGTGATTCGATTGTACGTTCTCTTTTTCTATGATACAAGAAAATCACAAAATTATTTGTTATAAAGACAATAGTCACATCTTACTTATATTAAACTCACTACAAACGCTAGCAACGAAGGCTTCATAAGGCATATTAAGAATGCAATCATAAAAAAAAATCACTTCAATGCATCATTAATAAAGATAGAATGTTCTATAACTAACTTACAATATTAATCACTTATAATCTCACTATCTATTACAATACTTAAATAGTCAAATTGCTTAATTATTTCGTTCCAAATAATTTTTATTTGCCATTAAAGCCTTCAATTCAATAAGGATTATTTAAATCGGCTATATTCATAGACAATTTCACATTAGCGTCTAAAATTAAAAAAATGTGTCAACGGATTGTCACTTGTCAAATTTGAATGACAACGCGCTTGTGAGCCATTATATTATTATGTTTTTGTTTATATTTTAAGATTATAATGTAAGTTGTGATGAACACAGTCCACAGCCTCTGGAGTTCTGCTCTCAGCGAGCGTCGCAGCGAGATAAGACTCGTGTTGCTTCAATCTATACACGAGAGGCTCCCACGAGCCGTAGTTTAATTCCATCAATTGTATCGCCTTTTTGACCACCTTGTGAGCTTCTAGACACCATTCTCTGTTGAAACAATATTATTAATATATTTTACTAGACGACCTGGCGAACTTCGTATCGCCCTATAATCAAGAAATATCTATTACGTTTTTTTATTTATATTTTCGGAGTTTACCTGTAAGCCATAAATCTCCGTGTTTTGAAGTGCGACAGAATGATTGACATATTAGTTAGTTGTCAAATCTAATGTAAAAAAAACGTTTGTATGGGAAATAAAAAAAGGGCTGTTTTTATGGTTTTCCCAGTGATGAATCAATATTTTTCAGCTTTTATACCTTCCCTGAACCTCCACGAACATTTCAAGACTAAGATAAGATAAATCCGTTCAGCTGTTCTCGAGTTTTAGCGAGACTAAGGAACAGCAATCCATTTTTATATATATAGATATAGAAGTTAAACTAAATTAAACATATATTTAAAGAATTAACCTGTGTTCCAAATGTTGCGGCGAATTCAATATCCTTTCCAACATAACGTCTGATAATTTACGGAGTTCATGAGCGACCTGGTGACAAAATATCTAGTTTAATATAGATATATACCCCATAATCTACTGAAAAATTAGATAATTATTTTGGAAAAGTTAAATATAATGACCTCTACACTGAATGAACCAAAGCGATATTCTAGGCTCTGGATATTCTGTTTGATGAGTTCCATACTTTTGGTGAAATCACCTGCAAACAAAAAATACCAAATTTTATTTTTATTTTGCTGATAATAATAGCTCTAGTAGACTTGAAGCACCTCAACAGTTCACTGTATTGTATACAAAACAAAAAGTAGTGTGTGTAATTTTAATAAACTTCTAAGTAAAGTTAACCAAAAGCTATGTAATTAATTACGCATCGTGTGAACACCCTACAGATTAGGTATACACACACATACACACACACGTGCGGCAGCGTGGTGTTGTATCAGCACGCCGCCGCACGCGTCCACACATGGAACGTGTCCACACTTTATTTATTTATATTGAAATTTGGTCAAAAATTAAGTACCTATTTTTTTTACATAATTCGAATGAGAATCATGTACCGAGTATTCTCCTTAAATATTGATAGTAATTAACCAGTCACCCTGTATATAATATTTTTGTTACTTTATAATAATACTAGAAGACCCGGCGAACTTCGTGTCGCCCTATAATCAAGAAATATCTGTTACGTTTTTTTTATATTTTTGGAGTTTATCTATTAAAGCCATAAATCTCCACGTTTTGTTGTGCGACAGAATGATTGACATATTAGCTAGTTGTCAAATCTAATGTCAAAAAAAACGTTTGTATCAACAACTACTAATAAATAAAAAAATCATTACAAAAACATTGTCCAGCGGACAAAATTGTGGATCAAAACCATTCCCAGATCCCCTTGAACACACATAAAAAAATTCATAAAAATCGGTCCAGTTGTTTGAGAGAAGTTCAGTGACACACACTCACAGAAGAATTATATAAATAAAGATATATTTCAAACACACACCAATATCAGCATACAGTCTCGCCAGTCTATCCGCTGCCATTCTTAGTGAGGCGTGGTGTCGATGCCACACTTGTTGTTTCAGTCGGTACGAGGCCGCCATCTTTTCACAACGCTCCTCCAAACTGGCGACCTGTTCCGCTGTATTATGCAACAGATTAAAAAATATTCACATTGGCAGAATATATTGTGCCTTAGCTGTATTTTGTACAAAAAAAAATTGATATAAACCTTGTGTTGCGAGATCGTCAGCTCTGTCCAATAATGTATGTGCACGTTCTAAGTGTAGTGCTGATCGACACTGTGTGCACAGAGGACGAGCGCCGCGCGCCCACACAGGACCCTTACACGACTGACACAAGTACGCGCTGAACAACGACTGCGAAATTAAGTTCCATTTTCAAATATTACATTCAAATTTAGAATATACATTGGAACAATATTATAATAAGTGAACCGCTTACATATGACATGAAGTAAAGTTCCAATTTCAAATGAATAATTCAAATTTAGAATATACATGCATTGGAACAATGTTATAATAAGTGAACCACTTACAAATATGACATGAAGTAAAGTTCCAATTTCAAATACAATATTCAAATTTAGAATCTATACTAATATTATAAAGCTGAGGAGTTTGTTTGTTTGTTTGTTTGTTTGTTTGAAAGCGCTAATCTCCGAAACTACTGGTTCGAATTGAATAATACTTTTAGTATTGGATAGTCCAGTTATCGAGGAAGGCTGTAGGCTATATAACATCACGCTACTACCAATAGGAGCGAAGATATAGTGGTAAATGTGTAAAAAACGGGAGAAATTATTTCATCTTTGAAGCCTTCCGTTGCGTGCGCCGTGAAAACGGTTCAAGATACACAAAAAATATGTATGAAAGAATAATAGCTCTTTTAATGATCTAAAAAACAGTCCGCGACAGTATATGTCTATCTTTTAAGATTAACTCACAAAAACCGTTTTTATGGTACCTAATTTGGTCGAAATAATTTAAGTTGTATCAACATAATAATATTAATCTTTATTCAAATAAAGAAATAAATATGTTGTTGGTTAAGAGTACTTCATTGTGAATTAAAAAAAACATAGGTTTTATCCTGAAAATTCTACGGGAACTCGACCATTCCGAAAAAACCACAAGAACGGGAACTATGTGGGAAGAACCAAAAATCTGCCCGAAGTCACTATTCCACGCGGACGTAGTCGCGGCAAAAGCTAGTATATTATATTGGAACAATATTATGACAAAGTAAAGCACTTACAAAATATGATATACGTAAATGTTCCAATTTCAAATATACTATAGTAGAGTTCTAATTACAGATGTGACATAATATAGATTAGTTTTTATATGACATAAAATTAACGAGTGTTCCAATTTCAAATATATGTTAAAATCGTGGAACGTTCCAATTTGGATAATCCTATTTCAAATTACGAGTTCGACTTGAACTTTAAAGCGTCACTTTGCATAGCATGTTCATTACAAATATATGAAATATAGATATGTTTACCACAAAGTCTCTTCTATCAGTGTCATTACACGCAGTACAGTGGCAAGTGAACATATACTGAGCTTTTAGCGCGGTTTTCCTTGCTGCGGCGGGGGCGCGCGCTCGATGTGGCCCGTAACAGTTGAACACTTCACCTCCAGCCGGTAACTCGCGCTGGCATCTCACTATGAGACGACTCTTGTAGAAACTGGTGAAATAATTATAATTTTAATATATTTTTAACAAACTAATGAATTTCTTAACAGAATAATTGTCACTTTTTATCACTTCAAACAATGATTTAGTACTTTAACACTTTTTACTTATTCTATTTAACTAAGTTTCGAAGTAAATCTTAATTCAACTAATGGAATGAGCTCTCGTCGATTTGCAGCCATTCTTATAGTCTCGATTATATATTTAATTCGTTAACAATATTGTATAATATATGTAGTATAGTCGGAATTCCATTTTCACATATTTTTTTTAGGGTAGTAGGTATTGAAATATATTTCTTTTTGTAATTTTCTTCGCCAAATGTACTTTTATATTGTGAATTAATTTCGATTTGTTTACTAGCAAAGGTGAGTAGATATATAAAGTCAATTTGACTTATTTGTAAAGCTAGATGTACATGTATGAAATATTAAACCTCACGTGTTTATTATGTTTGGATCGCACGAGTGATTCATCATGGCGGCCGAGGGATAGATGGCGGTGGCTCTCCGGACTTCCTTTTCCGTTATCGTTTTGCCTGAAAAAAAGGTTTAATAAAATTTGAAATCGATGTGACATTTTTTTTCTTAAATTATTCATTGATTGAGTTTATACGGTTATACTAATTGTGAAGGAAAAATCTGGTCATAAAAATAATTTACGAAAATTATGGAATTTAAGCATACAAATTTACTTTAATAACTTCCAAAAAGATTCTAAGAAACAAATGTATAATAAAGTCAGCCATATTATGCATAAGATAACACAAAACTGCCTAATAACGTTGATATTTTCTAACATAATACTATATTGGTTATTGATATATTGTTATTGGGGCTAAGTCATGGGTAATAAGTATAAAAAGAACTATATAAACCAGTATAAAAAGACCTACCATTTCTGCCATCGTCTTCCTCAACCACAGCCAGGCTTAAAGTGGCGTGTCCATTACAAACCAACTGGCCCATACTCCTCAATATTACGGCCGCCGCGAATAACTTCAACTGACTCTCAGATAAAATACAAGGCAGTTTATTTGGTAAATAATCAAAAAAAGTTGTGAAATTCTCCAAATACAACGTCAACATAGTGGCCGTCTGCAAAAAAATACGAAAAAAATTTACATTATTATATATCTTATATATAAAATACTCGTTTAAAAATGTTCGTTCCCGTATTCCGCCTAAACGGCGTCACCGATTTTCGTGAAATTTTGTGAGCATATTGAGTAGGTCTGAGAATCGGCCCATAACTATTTTTCATACCAATAAGTATAGATAGGGGTTATTCACTCCTAATTTTCTTTATCTGGACAAAAGGATTTTATTATTATTTTTTTATCATGTGGCGTAAACAAATACATACAACCTTAAATTATTATGATCGACCAACTGATCGACCAACTGATCGTCCAACTGGTCGTCCAACTGATCTTCCAACTGGTCGACCAACTGATCGTCCAACTGATCGTCCAACTGGTCGACCAACTGATCGTCCAACTGGTCGACCAACTGGTTGACCAACTGATCGACCAACTGATCGTCCAACTGATCGACCAACTGATCGTCCAACTGGTCGACCAACTGATCGTCCAACTGATCGTCCAACTGGTCAACCAACTGATCTTAGAAAAGTTAAAAAGAGCATGAACTTGCTTAAGGAGAAAAGCATAACAATAAAAAAAGTAATACTTTTTTATCCCCAACCCCTACTCTACTAAACATATGTGTATTAAAACATGACTTACTAATGCGTATTGTATGTAATCCGAGTTATCCATCTTATTGAAGTTTGTCACTAGATTGAACATCCTGTAGAATGGATCCGTGCCAGTTTTGTATATCTGTATGTTGTCTACAAGCCCGTAGCTCCTGAACAACTCGCCGGCGGTACAAGCTTGCGGCAGTGACACCGGCGATTGTGGGAATCCGTTGTTCGTACTTATTAGTAACACCCTGTATATAACACGTGGTAACCTTTATATATAATCTATTATAATACTGTAGATTTAGGGATTGAGAATGTGTTATAATAGCTTATATTTAGCAAGAATTATGCATATATTTTTCTATTCAAATAGTTTAGAGAATACTTCATAACTTATTTATATACTTATTCTTAGATAGTATGGGTATTTCCATATTCCACATCAAATATGTTAATAGATACCTTAATATACAGGGTGATCACCTTAAAGCTAAATGCGCGATGCCTATAGTGGGGAAGAGTGAGCTCTGTGCGCCGACACACTCCCAGCGATGAAAGGAGACAGCACGAGACGCACACTCACAGCCACAGTACACGCTGCGTGAACACACACTGCAACTACACACACATACATACATACGATTAACGTTATATACAGGACGTTCAAGAAAAATCATAGATTTGTATGATATAGATTTAAAATTAATCTCAACACACCAAAGGTAATAACTAAAATCTGTCTGTATATTTTGATTTTGAGTATAAAAAACAATAATTAGCTCAGCAGTGAAATTGAATATAACTTATTCACTCTAACTATATCTTGTATCACTATTGGCTTTAACAACTTCATCAGGTGACAATAGATAAACCTTTAAGATATGAATGGACATAGAATATATATATACTCTATGTGTGTGTGTGTGTGTGGGTGCATGATATATATATTTATGTGTGAGTGTATGTTATGCATATGTATGTGTGTGGGTGTATGATACATATTTATGTATGTGTGTGTTATATATATGTTATTTACGGCACTGGATTGATGTCTGTGTCGCAGCACATCTCACAGACGGCGTCCTCCGAGGGCAGAGCGACCCAGGCGTAGGGCTCCTCTGAGAACAGAACGTCCCCACGACCCGCCGGCTCCGACGCGACCACGTGACGACCACATGACTCATTATACCTATATACATGGAAAAAACAATTAAAATCAGTAGTATTCTTAGTATAAGTGACGCGTCACGCTAATACTTGCAGTATTACGTTCAGATATATTCATAAATGATACTATCAAATTGGGTTGGAATGAAAATTGAAAAACTGATATGCATTATGACAAATATATAGTAATATACTTATATCTGAAATTAATTAAAGCAATTAAATGATATTATTTTTGTGATTGGTGGATAAACCTTAATTCGATAGATTTGGAGGCTGATACAAAGTCAGGGTTGGCTCCGAGGTAACAATCAGGTAACTGCACCGCTTCGTCTTTAATAACATCCCCTTTGACACATTCGAGTTTCTTCTCTAAAATTTTTATATGACGCTCGAATTCCACTGAAAAAAAACATTTAAAATATATGTACACCCATTTTGTCAACTTATATAAACAACAAAAAAAGTATGGAAGTTAAATTAGTCTAATTAAATGAAGTATATAGACATTAAATTAGTATATAAGAGTTAACTGGATGAAATAAATGCTATTAAATCAAATTTTTCTCATATTTACATGTGTTGGCTGCTGTCATATTGAGTGTCTTTGCGTATTGTATCGCTGAGTTGAGAGCGGTCCTTGCTTCTTTACTTTGTAATTCAATGTAACAATCTGCTCTACGCAGTAATAATTTGTGTCTCTGTTCCACGGGATAACCACTGTCTATAGCCAGAGACACATCCGATAAACATTCCTAGTATATAAAAAATATACCATTTATACAAACAATTATCTGGTAACTACTTAAACTATGAACATAGGTACAATTTTATATATAAATTAACTAGTATTATAGTGCTGTATAGGAATAAACATGCCTGAAATCTCTTTAACCTCAATAAAGCAGCCGAGCGATTCGCTAGTGCCAAAGTATACATGAGACTCTTAGGTTTAGCGTACAGCACACTATTTGTATAGCACTTATAGCTTTCTTCGACCAAGTTCGCTCTGAATTTCTCATTGCCCTTCTGTCTCCAGAACAAAGATACCTCGTCACATTTTAAAGCCGTATCTGATTCACATGTTTTACGTGCATATGTATCCTTCATTTGTTGGAGCCAGTAGAGTAGAATTTTCCTGAAAATTATCGAATTAAATAAATACTTTGAAAACAAATACATATACAGGGTGACTGATGAATTACTATCAATATTTAAGGAGAATACTCCTTCTGAGAATAATTTTTGAACAAATTTCCGTATAAATAAATAAAGTGTGGACACGTTCCAAGTGTTCCAAGTGTGGACGCGTGCGGCGGCGTGCTGATACAACACCACGCCGCCTCACGTGTGTGTGTGTGTGTATACCTAATCTGTAGGGTGTTCACACGATGCGTAATTAATTACATAACTTTTGGTTAACTTTACTTAGAAGTTTATTAATATTTGTGTTATATTAATTTTTATTTCGTCAAATATCACGTCCTCAAGTATCGATAGTAATTCACCAGTCACCCTGTATATGAATATTGCACATAATACACGAGTAAAAATATATAAATCATACATTTTATGAATTTTATTTCAATTTAAAATCACATGTAAGTAATTTAAAAAAAAGCATAATCTTTTTAATGTTAACACTAATAAAACATTATACATGTACATTTTTGTATGCCATGGTTTCATTCACACCAGCATCATCTAATATTTAGCCAATAAAAACATTTTTATTTTTTTGACAAATTACAATCTTGTGTACTGTTTTTGGGAAACAAAATATATACAATTTTAGATGCTTCTCTTAAAAAGACATTAATTACTTAATTTGTGAAAAAACTGCTTAAATTAGAAAAAGATTATATATATACATATATGTACGCTATTACAACTTAAGGCACACATGGTCATGTCGCACAGGATCTCGCTAGCAGAAAAAATTTAATGAAACTGATATAAATAAGAAATATCTTGTAAAAACTAACTATACTTAAACCCAAATCTGTATTGTGGTAAATTGCTACATAAAATGAATGCTAAGATATATATAATTATACAGGGTGACTGGTGAATTACTATCAATATTTAAGGAGAGTACTCGGTACATGATTCTCATTCGAATTATGTAAAAAAAATAGGCACTTAATTTTTGACAAAATTTCCGTATAAATAAATAAAGTGTTGACACATTCCAAGTGTTCCAAGTGTGGACGCGTGCGGCGGCGTGCTGATACAACAACACGCCGCCAAACGCGTATGTGTGAGTGTGTGTGTATACCTAATCTGTAGGGTGTTCATACGATGCGTAATTAATTACATAACTTTTGGTTAACTTTACTCAGAAGTTTATTAATATTTATGTTATATTAATTTTTATTCTGTCATATATGATCGTCAAATATCACGTCCTCAAGTATCAATAGTAATTCACCAGTCACCCTGTATTTATTCATATACATATATACTTGCAATAGAATTATATGTAACAAAAAAATATTTGTTACATCTCCTATTAATCTTTAGATAAATATCTTAATATACTATCTTATAACATAACAGACAATTAAAACACAATTGTTCTGGATTTTGTTAAGATTTCGCAGATTTTGTTAATTATTTATTTAATTGTGCAAGCCAGCTTTAATCAATGAAAAGGCATTAAAAAAGGAAATTGAATATTAGAATGGAAACATACATTTCCATTGAAATATCAATATATTATTTTAATATATAATATATAATTTTGTACTGTGCTTTAAGTCACTTCCAGAATCATTAATTTTACTATAATTTATTAAACTACAGATGTTAATAGTTTGAACTTGACCAAGTATTCTAAGAAAATATACTTATATCTTGTTTGGTATCTTAACAGTACAGAAACATAATAAAACTCTTAAAATTTATTGTTTATTATATACAAACTAATAGTTGTATAAGTGCATTTGATTTAAGCAGCAAAACTAAGAAAAACTGTTTAAAAGCAAAATGGAGATGCAATGACTTTATGGAAACAATAATTATGTATATTTAACAGCTCTAACGTTAGAATTTAGATCAAAAATGATGTTGTATAGTTTATTTATTAACGACGCTTTTGGCAGTATCTTATACTTCTGTCCATATATGGAACTTGTTTTAGGAAATATTATTTAGAAAATTGTATACCTAACACCCTTGTTGTTGTAGAAATAATTCATAGTATCGATCTCCGTTTCGTGTGTACGATCGATTTTCTTTTCCTCTGAGGATAACAACAACAACAATATTTCCCATTGTTTAGCACAGTCCTCCGGTAAATTGACACTGTTCATCTTATAAATCAAACCTTTAGTTTATATTATATAATTAAAATATATAAACAAGATAAATTAATGTTTTAAAAATGAAAAAATCATAAGTATTCATAAGTCTAAATCGTAACCTACAATAATAAAGTGACAGTTGACAGGTGATACCTGTATGTATTGCAAGTCAAACTAATATCTTCGTTCAAAATCTGTGTTATACTTTTGCTTTCAAAATTTAATTGAGAGTAAATAAAAGAATTTAAATCTTTTAAAATGATTTTTTTTTTATTTTTTTATTATCGTATATTAAATGCGAGAAGTATTCGACATAAAGAGGGAGCAATTATTGACATTAATACTTTTATATACCAGGATTCAACTTTCGTAGATATCTTTTCTAAAATTTTCTTTAATTAGGAGTAACAAATTGAGAAGAACATTATTATAACTATGATATACATGTACATATTGAAATAATTGTGTTGTTAGTTATAAAATAAAATTATGTATAACTTAAAATGAAATAAAACTAATATAGGTATTCGGATTTACCACCCGTTTGATGTTATTTTAAAGTACACACTCCCGACGTTTCAATTACTTTGCAGCAACCGCGATGACGGACAGACGAGATTAAAATGAAATAAAAATTACATATTCATAAATTCAGTAAATCCGAAAATATTAATTTTATCTTATTTACATGAATACTCGCGAAAGTTCACACATAAGAAAAACAATATAAAATCCCCGAGGATATTTGTGCGTCGGCCTCCAGACCGGATATATTTTTGTTTTCGCGAATTTTAAAGCGCGTAGTGATGATAGAGCTTACGGTTCCTTGGGAAACCAACATCCCTGAAGACCATACCATCAAGGTCAACAAATATTACGAGCTCACAAACGAACTCACTCGAAATAGGTTCGTTGTGGATTCATGAGAATTTCATTCAGAGAAGTTTCGTCGTCTCTCATTATTTGTCACTTTGCCTGGAATAATAACTTAAAGGATGAGGACAAAGGTTATAGTGTGTTAAAAATTGATGTTCATATTAAAATGGCATACATCAAAAATAATATCAACTTTTAAACTGTGACACTTGACTATTCTTAGTTTTGGATTTAATTTTTCTTTCTCATAGTTCGTTCTAAAGCCATAACCTTATGATAAAAGTATTATTAAGAAAAACCTAAAATTTATCAATTAAAATTCCTAAAACGAAGACATTCAACAATAAAAACAAACAATAATACTTTAATAAACAGTATATCTACTTTTTATCGTAAATAAATACGTGCATTCGCCTGTACAAGAATTTATGTAGCAGTGTTAAGACTTGTAGAAGTATTCCTTACTGATAAGAAAACGAATCTTCCAGTTCGTTGACTTTAGGAAAGTGTGTTTAGTAAGAGAGCATCATTAAATGAAAACACTCTTTAATAAAAAAAGAAATAATGTAAGTTGTATGAGTATGCGTTAAAATAAATGAAATAAAGAGCTATTAGCATTTCCATTTCGAATCTTACGTATATAACTAAACCTTTATTTAATTCATTAATAGATGCATATTAAAATGAGATTTATATGTTATAAAAAGAAATATTGTTAGCTGTAAGAGAATAAATGAAATAACGCGCTATTTTCATTTTGCATCCTACGTATATAACTAAAGTTTTATTTCCAGAAAAGATGTAAATTAATATTAGATTTTTATTATATTAACATAGGATTCAAGGGAATTCTTTTGACTATGGCGTGAAGTTTATGAAAACAGCTTGTCTAGAACACTTATCAAACGTGTTTATTGTCAAAATATTACCAAAAAACTCCTGTTTTTCATTCAATAGTCAATGTTTATACCTACTATAATGATTTGATTTATGAATGATACTTTTAACGTTACGTATGTAGTGATCGATAAAACTGGAAGTAAGCAAAAAGTATGTATATGTAAGGTTGTATGTATGTAGATGTGAACAGTAAATTTTTGAAACATGAAACCTTTTTGGTTCCAAAAAACACTTGAACTTCTTGGTTATGCAATGCTTGAGGTTTTTTTTTTTGCACGACCAACAAAATGAACAATGCATTATTACACTTAATTTATACAGAACAATGAAGCATATACTAACACTAAAATTGCTATAATTGATTACCAGAGAGTAGAATTGCATTTCTCATTTTACTTGGATAATATATTTGAGGAGTATTTTTAGCTGTAGTCCAAATAACGTCCTACTTGACAAAAATTCTTAATGTATAAACTGTTTATTTGACCTGTCAGAAGTGATCGTATGAACTAAAATATCATAACGATTTTCAACAAAATTTTTAAAAAGTACAGAGAAAACGAACATATTATAGTTTATTAAAAACTAGCTGACCCGGCAGACTTCGTACTGCCTCAATCAAGAAATAAATTATGTCTTATTTATTTTTTTGGTGTTTACCTTTAAGCCATAAATCTCCGTGTTCTGAAGTGCGACAAAATGATTGACATATTAGTTAGTTGTCAAATCTAATGTCAAAAACCGTTTGTATGGGAAATAAAAAAGCGCTGTTTTTAGGGTTTTCCCGGAAATTAATAAAAAAATTTCAGCTTTTAAACCTTCCCTGAACCTCCACGAACATTTTAAGACTATGATAAGATGAATCCGTTCACCTGTTCTCGAGTTTTAGTGAGACCAAGGAACAGCAATTCATTTTTATATATATAGAATAGAAGATATAATCACAGTGAAGTGATTTAAATGCTTATTTAAATGATAAAGATTATAAAGAATTTTATGTTGATACAATATTAGTACTGAAAAAAATAACTACTAAATATATATATTTATATGTATATATATAGGTATGCATAAAATTCCATCACGTACACATTAGCCACGGAGGGATGGGTCGTCTATGTCAACGACGCTTTGGTTTCCATTATACATCCAAAAAAGGTTAGTCACGGATTATCTTTTATGGTCCAACCTATTTCAATAGATTCGTGCAATATGAACTCTATTTGTAAACAATACCCACGATATTTGTTTGTTTGTAATATAATGTATTTTGTCACATATTAGGAAACTAGCACTTAACTTTCGGTGGATCGGAATGCGGGAACCACTTTCCATAATCCTGCTAGAAGCCGTACTCTACTGTTTTATTGTTGGATGTGTGTTATCGGCTTTTCTTTAGTTCAAAAAGTATTTACTACCATTAAAGGAACAACAATAAACAAATGGGAAGGATAGAACCAAATTTAAAGACGCCTGAAGTTTTTCGATTGCCATCAAAACGAAACTTCTTAATTCTTTAGTTCTTAATGGTTAATAAAGTTTGTATACAAGTCTTGTTATGATAATTATGATTAGCACAAATAAGTGTTTTTTTTTTTGTAGAAGCATGAATGACCTAGTTTTGATAGATCTTCAGCATTATTTTCGCATCAATAACATGCTAAAAAACGCTAAAAAACTATAATATTATCTTTACTGTTTGGTTGCTTGGTACTAACGTCAAGCTTAAAATACTTTTTATTACGAGATTAGTATAGATTATTTCGAGTTCCAAAATGATCAAAATTCGACATAAACATGCCCAAGAGTCAAGACTAACGTTTATATTTTAACTACGACTCGTTATAGTTCGTGAGTAAGTAGCACAAATCATATTTGGACATATATCCAGTTAAAAAGATATAAAATCTATGACATATACATACAAATAACACAAACCCAGTGACCCAATAAACAAACGGTCATCAAATTGTAAAACTAAACACGTATTGCGTAGGGAATCGAAATTTATTCGGCACGCGAAAGCTCATACGTACTGAGTTTCACACCTGTTGGTTATTGCAACTTGCAACACTGACGCAGGTCGGAGCTCGCTACCACACAATTTAGTTCTCAGTAACTTGTTGTAGTCCGACGACGCTGCACGCGCGATGAGCGTCCTATCATACGAAAAACCGTCGTGAGTGATAAAAAAATTTTGTATTGTGTTTTAATTAAAAAATGGATGTAATCTACGTTTGTATTCTGCTGGCTATAGCTGAAGGTAATATTTATGTTTTTTTTAATATATATATTGTAGTTATTTTCATAAATAATCTCGGTAAAAATGATCCACTTTCAGATCATTCTTCAGAGACGTTCTCTTTGTTTTCACTTCACATTACATTATTGTTAATTTAATTGTATATTTTTTTTATATATCTTAAATTGTATAAGCTATGATTGGTTCTCATTAAAACGAAATTCCCAACCTGTTAAAGTTTCACCTGTGTATACATACTAGACATTACTTTGTAATTTTTAACGTATTAAAAATATTGACACTATAAAATTACCGTTGTTTCCTACCGGCTCAGTATTATTGGTGTTAATTAAATATTGTCTATATACATTTTTGTTTTGAGTTTAAATAAGTAAATTAATATATGTATACTTCATTTAGTTTTATATATAAAAAAGTAAAGTATTTTCTGTGGAATGTAGAAAGAAATATCCATAAATATAATTGAAATCGTGAAAAAACTTAGAATATATTATACGAAGCTCACATTTTAATTTTACTTGAAATTTGCTCCTCACTTAGTTCTTTGGTATATTTAAGAAAAAATGGTTTATAAAAATTATATCTTAATTTCAGTCAACATAGAATTACTTTTGGTTTTATTAATTATTTAAAAATCACATAATTCTCCAAACAAATGTTAGTTTAAAATTCTGATATTTTTTCTCATATTAAACTATAAATATTATTTCGAAATGAGTTAATAAAAGTAGGTTAAAGTTTAGGTTTAATATTTCAAAAAATTAAATTAATAATGTATTTTAGTACGTTATAAACAGATGTCTCAAAATGTATGACGGAAGTCCTTATAGTTCCCCCACTTCCGGTATCATCGGACCGTGCAGGTAGCTAATGACGCTACCCCGTAGACCCGAAACCATAGAACATTCTGGAATATTCTGGAATACTAGTGAAAATGTAATTTTGATATACCGTCGGGGATAGTGCAAAT